GGATGTTTCAAACAGGTTTGGGGGTGCATTTTTGTAGGGCTGGTCCTTGTGAACAGCACGTGCAGCATGAGTTGCTTGAAAAACATGGAGAACAGCATACCATCTCCGAGATCAGGTTGCGTTTTTGAGACCATTTCCTGGGTTCCATTCTGAGTTTGAGAAGGAATGTGCTTGCTTAGGTTAAGTTGGAGATGTTGTCAACAATATACAATCAAAACATAAAATGAATTTACAGTTATCCGTTTCTGTGAAGGAAAATTCCAAATTGACGTTCTTTTGCTACTAAGTATATTTAATTGTGTGGCATTAGCGTCTTTTGCTTGCGTCAAACCAAACCTTTACGCCATATTGTCAAGTTGTTAAATTTATTCGCACCAAAATACAAGTATTTTAACTAATTAACATTTAGAAAACTACAGTTAATAATATAGATAACAAATGAGATGACATTATCAGTGATTTGGTCTTCGGAAATCAAGAGTAAAACGTGTAAAAGAATATGACATTTTGGGACTTTATCTAATGCAGCGCTGCATTCATGGACATATTCGAGTAGAGATACAATAAAGGTTCATGTAGTGGTGGACTGACATATTCAAGTAGAGATACAATAAAGGTTCATGTACTGGTTGACTGACATATTCAAGTAGAGATACACTGAAGGTTCATGTACTGGTTGACTGACATATTCAAGTAGAGATACAATACAGGTTCATGTAGTGGTGGACTGACAATGACATATTCAAGTAGAGATACTGTACTGGTTGACTGACATATTCAAGTAGAGATACAATACAGGTTCATGTAGTGGTGGACTGACAATGACATATTGGAACAGATATACAATAATGGTTTATGTAGTGGTGGACTGACATTGACATATTGAAGTCGAGATACAATAAAGGTTCATGTAGTGGTGCACTGACATCGACATATTCGAGTAGAGATACAATAAAAGTTTACGTAGTGGTGGATTGAGAATGACATATTCGAGTAGAGATACAATAAAGGTTCATGTAGTGGTGTACTGACAATGACATATTCGAGTAGAGATACAATAATGGTTCATGTAGTGGTGGACTGACAATGACATATTCAAGTAGAGATACAATAAAGGTTCATGTAGTGGTGTACTGACATCGACATATTCGAGTAGAGATACAATAAAAGTTTACGTAGTGGTGGATTGAGAATGACATATTCGAGTAGAGATACAATAAAAGTTTACGTAGTGGTGGATTGAGAATGACATATTCGAGTAGAGATACAATAAAGGTTTACGTAGTGGTGGATTGAGAATGACATATTCGAGTAGAGATACAATAAAGGATCATGTAGTGGTGGACTGACAATGACATATTCGAGTAGAGATACAATAATGGTTCATGTAGTGGTGGACTGACAATGACATATTCGAGTAGAGATACAATAATGGTTCATGTAGTGGTGGACTGACAATGACATATTCAAGTAGAGATACAATAAAGGTTCATGTAGTGGTGGATTGAGAATGACATATTCAAGTAGAGATACAATAAAGGTTCATGTTGTGGTGGACTGACATATTCAAGTAGAGATACAATAAAGGTTCATGTAGTGGTGTACTGACAATGACATATTCAAGTAGAGATACAATAAAGGTTCATGTAATGGTGGACTGACAATGAGATATTCGAGTAGAGATACAATAAAGGTTCATGTAGTGGTGTACAAATAATTGCAAATTCGAGTAGAGATACAATAACGGTTTATGTAATGGTGGACTGACAATGACATATTGGAGTAGAGATACAATAAAGGTTCATGTTGTGGTGTACTTACAATGAGATATTCTAGTAGAGATACAATAAAGGTTCATGTAGTGGTGTACTGACAATGACATATTCGAGTAGAGATACAATAAAGGTTCATGTTGTGGTGTACTTACAATGAGATATTCTAGTAGAGATACAATAAAGGTTCATGTAGTGGTGTACTGACAATGACATATTCGAGTAGAGATACAATAAAGGTTCATGTAGTGGTGGACTGACAATGACATATTCGAGTAGAGATACAATAAAGGTTCATGTAGTGGTGTACTGACAATGACATATTCGAGAAGAGATACAATAAAGGTTCATGTAGTGGTGCACTGACAATGACATATTCGAGTAGAGATACAATAAAGGTTCATGTAGTGGTGTACAAATAATTGCAAATTCGAGTAGAGATACAATAACGGTTTATGTAATGGTGGACTGACAATGACATATTGGAGTAGAGATACAATAAAGGTTCATGTTGTGGTGGACTGACATATTCGAGTACAGATACAATAACGGTTCATGTAGTGGTGTACTGACAATGACATATTCAAGTAGAGATACAATAAAGGTTCATGTAGTTGTGTACTAACGATGAAATATTCAAGTAGAGATACGATAAAGGTCCATGTTGTGGTGGACTGACAAGGACATATTCGAGTACAGACACAATAAAGACTCATGTTGTGGTGGACTGACATATTCGAGTACAGATACAATAAAGGTTCATGTAGTGGTGTACTAACAATGACATATTCAAGTAGAGATACAATAAAGGTTCATGTAATGGTGGACTGACAATGAGATATTCTAGTAGAGATACAATAATGGTTCATGTAGTGGTGGACTGACAGTGACATATTCAAGAAGAGAAACAATAAAGGTTCATGTAGTGGTGGACTGACAATGACATATTCGAGTAGAGATACAATAAAGGTTCATGTACTGGTGGACTGACAATGAGATATTCAAGAAGAGAAACAATAAAGGTTCATGTAGTGGTGGACTGACAATGACATATTCGAGTAGAGATACAATAAAGGTTCATGTACTGGTGGACTGACAATGACATATTCGAGTAGAGATACAATAAAGGTTCATGTTGTGGTGTACTGACAATGACATATTCCAACAGAGAAACAATAAAGGTTCATGTAGTTGTGTACTAATAATGGCAATTTCGAGTAGAGATACAATAACGGTTTATGTAATGGTGGACTGACAATGTCATATTGGTGTAGAGATACAATAAAGGTTCATGTAGTGGTGGACTGACATATTCGGGTACAGATACAATAACGGTTCAGGTAGTGGTGTACTGACAATGACATATTCAAGTAGAGATACAATAAAGGTTTATGTAGTGGTGGACTGACAATGAGATATTCTAGTAGAGATACAATAAAGGTTCATGCAGTGGTGTACTAATAATGACATAGTCGAGTAGAGATACAATAAAGGTTCATGTAGTGGTGGACTGACAATGACATATTCAAGTAAAGATACAATAAAGGTTCATGTAGTGGTGGACTGACAATGACATATTCCAGTAGAGAAACAATAAAGGTTCAAGTAGTGGTGGACTGACAATGACATATTCGAGTAGAGATACAATAAAGGTTCATGTACTGGTGGACTGACAATGACATATTCGAGTAGAGATACAATAAAGGTTCATGTTGTGGTGTACTGACAATGACATATTCCAACAGAGAAACAATAAAGGTTCATGTAGTTGTGTACTAATAATGGCAATTTCGAGTAGAGATACAATAACGGTTTATGTAATGGTGGACTGACAATGTCATATTGGTGTAGAGATACAATAAAGGTTCATGTAGTGGTGGACTGACAATGACATATTCCAGTAGAGAAACAATAAAGGTTCAAGTAGTGGTGGACTGACAATGACATATTCGAGTAGAGATACAATAAAGGTTCATGTACTGGTGGACTGACAATGACATATTCGAGTAGAGATACAATAAAGGTTCATGTTGTGGTGTACTGACAATGACATATTCCAACAGAGAAACAATAAAGGTTCATGTAGTTGTGTACTAATAATGGCAATTTCGAGTAGAGATACAATAACGGTTTATGTAATGGTGGACTGACAATGTCATATTGGTGTAGAGATACAATAAAAGTTCATGTAGTGGTGCACTGACAATACCATATTCAAGTTGAGATACGATAAAGGTCCATGTTGTGGTGGACTGACAAGGACATATACGAGGAGAGATACAATAAAGGTTCATGTTGTGGTGGACTGACATATTCGAGTACAGATACAATAACGGTTCAGGTAGTGGTGTACTGACAATGACATATTCAAGTAGAGATACAATAAAGGTTTATGTAGTGGTGGACTGACAATGAGATATTCTAGTAGAGATACAATAAAGGTTCATGTAGTGGTGGACTGACAATGACATATTCAAGTAAAGATACAATAAAGGTTCATGTAGTGGTGGACTGACAATGACATATTCCAGTAGAGAAACAATAAAGGTTCAAGTAGTGGTGGACTGACAATGACATATTCGAGTAGAGATACAATAAAGGTTCATGGAGTGGTGGACTGACAATGACATACTGAAGTAGAGATACAATAAAGGTTCATGTAGTGGTGGACTGACAATGAGATATTCTAGTAGAGATACAATAAAGGTTCATGCAGTGGTGTACTAATAATGGCATAGTCGAGTAGAGATACAATAATGGTTTATGTAGTGGTGGACTGACAATGGCATATTCAAGTAGATATACAATAAAGGTTAATGGAGTGGTGGACTGACATATTCCAGTAGAGAAACAATAAAGGTTCAAGTAGTGGTGGACTGACAATGACATATTCGAGTAGAGATACAATAAAGGTTCATGGAGTGGTGGACTGACAATGACATACTGAAGTAGAGATACAATAAAGGTTCATGTAGTGGTGTACTGACAATGACATATTCAAGAAGAGATTTGAAGACATGTACGATAACAGGTCATTTCAGGGAAACTTTCATTACAACCCATCAACCAAGGGTGCTCAATTCCTTGTTGCAAGTAAGGGAAGAATATCTGACAAGTATATGTGATATATTATTATATTATCTAGCATCTGACAATTACACAAAATATAGTGTATTTTGTATTTCACATACATTAAAAACCATGGACATCCCCTTGTTTTAATTGCAGGTACCTGCACTGGTGCAGAATCTAAACCAATATGGCGATGATGTACAAGGTGAGAACGGTTTCAAGGATACTGACTTATAATAACCTGTGACCGGGTGTAAAAACCTTGGAGTCAACTTTCTGTGCAGACTCTTTCAGTGTTGTCACAACCCCTAGTGTACAGTACCCAACCCTGTGCACTTAAAAGAACCCACGAATCCGTTGGTATATGACCAGATGGTGGCCACATGAATACGTGCAAACACCTAGTTGCGGGTACAGCAACGTGCAGTGAACTTGGACAAAGTACTGTGACTATGTGTCCCAGTCCACCCAGCTGTGAATGGGTACCTCGTTAGGATGAGAAAGCCACAATAACTCGGTGCGCCTAGTGGCTGCAAGAGTTGTATACTCCCCAGGGAGTTGAGATTGATAATACGATGTGCCGTTGAGATTGACATCCAATGATCGAGGGAAAATACCAGCGCCTTGAGCATGAACTAGTTGCCTGGATATGTGCGCTATATAAATATCCTATAATAATAATAATAATAATGTAACATGGACAAAAGAGCTGTGAAAATAGTCACACGAAATAGACAGTAACCAACTATGGAATATATGTTGGTTTTACAAAAGATATTATTTTAAGAGCGTATACATAACATATACAGGGAAAATAGTTTGTCTCATTTTACATTTATTGGCTATAAATGTTTTATTTGTTGTTTCTTTTTCTTATAGATGAAAAGAAAAAAATTGCGGATCTGCAAAGAATGGTAAGTTTAATACCCCTGATTTGCTTAACATTTACACGTGGCTGGTTACTTTATAGAGGATATTATATGAGTGCCCATGTAATCTACCGAGCAAGAGCGAGGGATATACCGATATTTAGGCACGAGTGTCGTAAACATAGTATGATATAGGAACGAAGTGTTGTAAACATAGTATAGGGGCAAGAATACTATGTTCTGTTTATTACCGAAGTCGTCAAATTGAGGAAACTAAACCCAAATCTACTTTCAAAAACAAGCTGGCTACCCGCCATCCCCGTATGTAGAACGCAACTTCACAGAAGAGACGTAACGTCACAGCATTGTTCATGACGTCACGTCACCATGACAAAGTGATATTTTGCCCTATGGCATCGTATGAAAAATATGAACCCCGAAATTTTCGCCTTCGTAGGTAATAAACTCCAGTATGTAACCAAAGAGCGTTTCTCACCATTGTGCATTGCAAATTATTTTAGGAAGTTATTTGAGTATTGATTTTGCCATGATTAGAAACTGTAAGCTTTGATTATAGCTTTGGTCCAACCATGTAAATTGTGTTACTGTTCCAACTGAGACTTGTGTTTTATACGTGTTCCTCCATTTTGCACTGATGATTAAATGGAAGAGATGTCAAAGCGTCAGCTTAAAACAGAGGTTCGATTCCCATTTCTTGTCTCTCCCTATCGTATTATTGTTGGCAGTGTGCAAAATGTCGCCACATTAGTCGCTCATTTAGTCATCAAGAATGTCGACCAGTGTTGTCCCTTATTACTAACATTGCCCCAAACTTACTTTCATGTCTGTGGTTTCACAAATATCATTTTCATTATCATCTTTTAAGGTGAAAGTTAGTTGTTCGTTTACGAATACCATGTGCTTATACATATTCTGTTTTGATATGATTACTTCGCCATTTTCTCGAGATATACACAAATAGAATAGCCATGTTACTGTTTATATTACACATGCACGTGTACAGGGTCACAGTAAACTGTTCCAAAAACATATTGTTAACTTAATTTCTCTTTTATTCTTGGTTTAAACTAAGATACACATGGTGTTGGCTGAAGTTTCGTAACTGTTCCTTAATCCTTCGTCAACTTCAGAATGAAGGCCTGCAGAGAAGGTGTTTGTATGATTTGTGATCAGAGAACAGATGAACTGGATTACGCTCCCATATGACTATTGTTTCCCCATTCTGACACTAATCCATGTGTCTCCTGGAGACCTGGAGACTGCATGAATGACCTGCAGAGGAATGTATTCCAAATTATATGACAAACAGCGCTGAGCGCTCGACTGGAGATTTCCGTTCTGGTCCAGATTCGATTAAGATTGTAAGATTTGTGCTTTAGCCTAAATCAGAGGTTGATGCTTTCTCATAACTTGACAAATGAATGTAACATATCATAGAATACAATCGTTGTTACAGATCCAGAATATTGAAGTTGAACAAGCAAAACAGAGACGCCAATTTGAAGGTATGCATAATACAATAAAACACAAACGGTTATAACTACATGTGTAAGTAAACATTGTTCGTGGTTTGTAGCTGATTTAAATGCCCACAGCCATCTAAATTACCCTTTACGCACTCGTGCTGCTCTATCAAAACGTTTGATTTAAATATCTGCAGCCATCCAAATTATGTTCATTAACATGATCTATTGTGTAATTCGTGCTGCTCTATCAAGAGGTGTATGGACGGCTTAACAAATCATATCCTCTGAAGCAAATCATAATACACGCTTATTATCTTCAGATGAACGGAGAGAAAGAGAGGAATTACAAAGACAGGCAAGTACTACTCCAAATACCTCACCTTATTAATAATAAAAACTTTATCTCCTTAAGCATATATTTACCAGGTGACAACAGTTATTTCCATCTTTTTCGCTCGTTATGCATTATATCATAATTAATGGTGGAAGGGTGACACAAAGTGTCAAATTAAATTCACTCACCCATTCATCACGGTTGTTGACCAGTGTTGTCCCTTATTACTGTAAATGTCCATTTCTTGTGTCCCCTGCCGTGACATTTCTGGAACATTGCTAAAAGTGACGAAACTAAACTCACACACGTATGCGCACTCACTAAAAGCAAAAACCTACTGTCATGTCTGTGGGTTTACAAGTATCACTTTCATTATCTCCCTTTACTATGGATGTTAATTGTTTCTTTATGAATACCATATGTTTAAACATTCTGTGTTTTTGAAATGACTGCTTCGCCATGTTGGCCATGCTACTGTTTATATCACGCAGATTTGCACGTCTACAGGGTCACTGTAAATTGTCACAAAAACATAATAACTTAATTTCCGTGTTGAAGCGAAGATATCAATGGTGTTGGCTCAAGTTTCGCAATGTTCTGTTGTATCAATTTCATAGTGAGGGGATGAATGGAAGGTGTTTGTATGAGCTTTTGATAAGAGAGTTATGATAACACTCTCGTGTGACCCTTTCTCCTCGACACTCGCTCGCACAGGAACACCCAAGTTTCACCTTCACAGGAATATATTCCAAACATAACACAAACGCTCAACGCACCTTTCATTAGTACGTTTTTCAGTCACCTGGGAATAAGCTTCTAGCAATACGTTTTTGCAGCACCTCCATAATCAACACCCGTGCAGACAATATTACTGGTTGCAGCATTAAACAAAGAAAACACAACCCATATGATTCATGCGGTCTCACCTTAGGCAAGTGGGTTTGTTCAAAATTGCCTCTGTTCAGCCAGCAGAAAATGGGTAGCCGGAGGGATAAGTTACCACATGTGATAGCGCTTTGAACATGCACAAGTGTGTGGAAAAGGTGCTTAATACATGGCGATTATTATCATTAAACGTAATAATATATATATATATTTATCAAACAATAAAACACAATCCATATGCAAATATATCATTTTAACGATAGACTCCCTGTTGATGACAGACACGAAGTAAAAAAGTATATGTCTAATTATGAGTACATGTTTGTTTATTTAGCATAGGTAAGATGCGGATACTTACTCATAACCTGGTAAATGAATGTCAAATATATAATACTAATGTTGTTACAGATGCAGAGAATAGAAGACGAACAGGCAAAACAAAAACGCCAATGTGAAGGTATAAATAATACAATAAAAACACGTAAAGTTATATCAGACGAATATACATACGTAATTACAAATGTTTTGTGGATATCTACTTGATTTAAATGTCTACAAACTTATTCTCAATGACATGAGTTTTTATGCAACTCTTGCAGCTCAATTAAGAAGTTTATTATAAATGATATCCTCTGAATGATAATACACACTCAATGTCTTCAGATTTACGGAGAGAAAATACAGATTTACGGAGAGAAATTAGAGAATTTCAAAGCCAGGCAAGTATTATTCCAAATACCCCACCATATTAATAATGAAAACAAACAACCCCTATCAGCACATACTCTCCAGGTGACAGTAGATATTTCCATCATAAATCAGCCATTACCTCCTGTCACCTGAAGACACGTCAAAGTATATTTGGCCCACTTTGCATCTTATCAGTTTAGTTCCCTATCAAATGTATCAGCTTATCCTGCATGACTGACGTGAGTGGTTTTGGAAATCTTTGCGTTTTTGTGCAGCAGAAAAATGTGAATTTATAAAAGGTTGAAACTCGGGTGTATGAGATTTGGTAGCTGATTAGAACTTTTCAAGGATAAAAAAACCCTTCAGATCAAAGACGTCATTGACTGATACATTAGAACCTTAAAAGGTGAATGCATGCATGAGTGAGTGAACCCGTTTCTGAGTACAGTACACTTTTCATTATGCGACAACATTATAGAGCTCTGATGGATCTCCCTTGTACTTTCGTTCATACAGCTGATTGCAGTGGATGCACTGTCGTCCGAATCAAAGAGGTTTCACTGTATGGATATTGTTTAGAGGCCATGAATTTAAATGTGAAATAATTAAGTTTGTCTGTTTCGTTGACATCATCACCTATAAGCAGACGAAACTACACGAGTGTAATTCTTGATTACAGATACAAAACCTCCATGAGGTGATCGAGGAAAAAGACAACGATATCAGACAACTTAAAGGTACGTTATAAGGTAGTGCATACTTCTAATACTCTGGTGTACGTAGGTCTTACTGTAAAGATTTACTTAGAGAAACACATACGCGTTTGCAAATCATCAGTTAAATGATAAAACACGTACACCATCAGTCATCTTTTTCACTTTTAACCAAAAAGATAAATATATAACTATGCTGTCAGTTCAACAGTACATAAAACATGTAAACACTTTATTTCTTGTTTTAGATTTAAGGACAGCAGCAGCAGAGAGCAAGGTAAATACGACACGTATTCCTGCATACTTGTGAATTAGACTTATTATGTCAGGTAAAAATATTCCTCTGAATACTTAACCTATCGTCAAATATGTTCTCGTCACGATATGGCTGAGATATTGCCGATGTGACGTTAAATATTAACTCACTCACTCACTTAACCTATCAAGTAAATACTCCACTGTATATTTAATCTGACAGGTAAATACCCCTCTGTATACTCAACCAGACAGTTACATACTCCTTTGTATGCCCAACCAGACAGGTAAATACTGCGTTGTATACTCAACATGTCAGGTAAAGAATCCTCTGTATACTCAACCAGACAGGTAAATATTCCTTTGTATACTCAACGAGACAGGTAAATACTCCTTTGTATACTCAACCAGACAGGTAAATACTCCTCTGTATTCTCAACGTGACAGGTAAATACTCCTTTGTATACTCATCATGTCAGGTAAATATTCCTCTGTATACTCAACGTGACAGGTAAATACTCCTTTGTATACTCAATCAGACAGGTAAATACTACTATGTATTCTCCACTAGACAGGTAAATACTCCTCTGTATACTCAACGTGACAGGTAAATACTCCTCTGTATACTCAACATATCAGGTAAATACACATCTGTATACTCAAAATGTCAAGTAAATATTCCTCTGTATACTCAACGTGACAGGTAAATACTTCTCTGTATACTCAACGTTACAGGTAAATACTCTCTGTATAATCAACGTTACAGGTAAATACTCTTCTGTATAATCAACATGTCAGGTAAATACTCCTCTGTTCACTCAACATGTCAGGTAAATACTTCTCTGTATACTGAACATGTCAGGTAAATACGTCTCTGTATACTGAACATGTCAGGTAAATACTTCCCTGTATACTCAACATGGCAGGTAAATACTACTCTGTATACGCAACATAACAGGTAAATACTCAACCTGTCAAACTATGCATCATTTACTCAACCAGTCGCACTGACCTTGCATCATTACAGGTACAGGAACCTCAGGATGCAGTGCAAGAGACAACCACCAAGGACAAACACGGAAGGGAAGAAGGAAAGACAGGTTTGATCTCTATAACCTGTTGAGAATATTATTCTCTGGTTAAATTGAACGTTTACCAAGTATCGTGTGGTCTTGCTTTAATACTGTAGTTTATGTAGCCACATAGGCTTACTGGTGTAAGGGAGGTAACTCTATACGGGAGAATAACTTCTTGTTTGATGCAGACGGGGCAAGCCTTGTGCTCTGGCTTGTTCACCTTCCTTTTTACACCATCTCACGCACCACAGGGCGAACATACAATAGCATCTCATGCATGGCGAATGTGTGGTGTTTCAATCAGAACGTTCTCCATGATATTTTAAACGGATTTCAATATGGGGCTACTATGAGCGCGTGGTAAACTGCTACTTTCTCCACCTATCGAATACTTAACACAAAGCGGCATGCCTCTGTTTAAGAGACAACTGTTGATGTGCATTCGTGACCCACTCGTGTTATTTCCATTCGTCACCACTCGCCCCTTTCCGTAACCTCCAAGAAGACTCGTCCCTTAGACTAATGCTTAGTCTCTGAATGGTGTCCTCCCATTTGTGAGAACTCCCAGTTGTGAGACACATTAATTAATGGTTCAGTGCACATAGGTGGTGTTTCCACATCCCTACAATGAAAATAGGATCAGCCCAGTAGTTGAAGAGTACCAACACGAGTTATTGAATTGGGATTGGTGAGCAAGTATTACTGCTTATGTTAACACGGCTCCCATGCAACATAAAATACAACATGAAATGGAGGAAGTGACGTCATCGATATTGACTATTGCATAAATATATTTTTAAGTATACATCAAATACAACTATTTTCTAAGTAGTCATAATTAGAGACTTACAGTTGTGTGTGTCTAATAAACTATTGTAGGAATATAAATCAATCATGAGAAGGTTGTTGAGTTAATTTAAGTATTTTCCTGAGAAAATTTGAAGCGTTGTGTCTTGATGATATAATCGTGGACAGATTCAACTATTTTCTGGTTTACCGAAGGAGTAAATTCTTTGTTTCCGTTCAAAATGGTATCCAGGTTATAACGGGTAGTGCCGGGTAAAACGGATTTGGTATAAGAGGCAGTTCGACTGTAAACTTGTATTTCAGAGTTATTTCTTAAACTATATCTTGTAGTTCCGGAGAAGGATGTAAATCTGAGTAGGTAAATTAATTTCTCTTTCAAATGATCACGAAGTTACCCACACAAAGTGTATGTTAATCAATTTATCTTAGTAAGTTTCATTAAGACTTCCACAAGATTCAGTTACATAGCAAATCAGTAATTAGCTAGGGTGAATCCATTTTATCAGACAGGGGAGTATGGTGTGTTTTCTTTGTTAATTACCTATTCCACTGTCTCATAACTGGAAGTATCACAATTGGGAGTTCTCACAAATGGGAGTAGACCCTCTGAATATATATAATGTTGATAATAACAAACAAGCCCATTTAAATTGGAAAGGAGCCCTAGAAGGACCAGAGATTCAGAACCTGAGGAAATCTAGACTTGCTTTATTTAGGGCTTTAGCACTGCAGAGAGGGCTTGGCAGTAGGGTAAATAATGTGGTTCAGGGACTGTGAGACAGACTACTCGTCGCCCTATCGATAAAGGTTTTGTGCGAAAATCCGACAAACCAATTAAAGCGCAAGGAAGGATTGAGGTACTTGAAATATCCCGAGTAATTAAATCGGTCATGTCATGTTGTGATTGTTTAAAAAATGTGATAAAATATATATCTAATGTATAAGAAAATAGTTAACAAAACTGTGTTGCCTAATTTGAAATTTTTAGTAAGGATAGGACCACGAACGATGACTGATTCAAATACGGTATTTCCTCTAATAAGCGCCGGGGGTAAAGCAACTCACTAACAATATTACGGTAATGACACCAAGTAAGTGCAAAAGCGCCGGGCCTCTAATAAGCGCCGGGTCTGGAAGTCCGTTGAAAATTAATAGCCCGGGCGCTTATTAGAGGAAATACGGTACACACGTGCGTTTGGATCCAAAATGAATGTTTTCCTGACGATCTGACGGGCTTGCTTTTGAGATTTACGTAAACCTTCCGACATTTGTGGGTAATGTAATAAATAGACTACGAGTTTCAAAACAGTTTGTTTATGTATAACTAATCAACTTTAATCTTAAACACCGTGCATACTTTTCACTTCATTTGGGATATTTTAGTCTGACGTTTCTTGGGGTTCTTCATATTGTTTTAGCATATTCAATTCAAATTCCACTGGTGCACTAAATCATGACTGGACCCTCTACGAGTCCTTCAGATTGAGATATGTTTTAAAGTTAATTTTGTGATAAATCCTTCCAGAGGATCATGAGCCGGTATTCGGCTGATCCCGGAATAACCAAGTGGGTCACGAATGTAGCTGCTTTTAAAAGATTTTAACTTGTTTTAAATAATACAATAACTGACAGTTAGTCCCCCGTTGACATTCAGACTTTATTTCTGAACCTGTTTTCTCTACGAAAATAACAATGCGACAACCGATACCCTTCTTTCTCACCCAGCCAGTGTTGGGCCACACAGCACTGTTACCAGTTTGAATTGCTCATTGTGACGAACAGCGGAGTGCCTGACTCTGAGGGTGTGGGTTCGAATCCCGGATGAGACTCAACCCCAAAAGTACAAGAATTTGTACTTTACTAAGAAAGCGTAATCCCAAATATTGCGGGGTTACACTTTCATTCTTGGGAACTACCTTGACTGTTATATGATATTGATGATATTAAGAGGAAAAGCCGAGACATCTTTTCACTTTTCTTTGTCAATACTGAGGAAATTATATATTTTGCGGATAGTACCTTTGATCGACTGGCCAAGGCTCAGACATTGACTGGCAAACGCAAACGCAATAATGTTGGTCTCGTCGCCATATATGGCTGAGATAATGCCGATGCGAGGGTTAGATGTTTTGCTATGTATACAGTTCATACTTACTCTTTGAACACATTTCAGTCTGTACTTTTATCCCATCACGCGACCAACTTCACACTGTATAATCATAAACTACCACGTGCATTTCATATTCAAATAATAAATTCATAATAATAATAACAATTTAAACCAGATATATGTACATGAATTCGTAGTCAGTAAAACTAATAAAATTGTACGGTCATTAAAAATGTCTGTAGTCCTTTATTAAACGTTAGTTCAATCCAACAACGATTGTAACAATGTTTAAGCCTTGTCGTTTTTCGTCAGTCACAAATAAGATTAAAACGAACGAGGAGCTGCTCGCTGTCCACTGCCGCGAAACTGCATCTATCTGTCAAGTTACGTCATGTTGTGACGTCATATATTTTGCACTGGGCCAGGTTTTCGGAGAGGCAGAAGTGCGGGGAATGTGAATCTTATATGAGATGTAATGTCAGGGTAAGTAAACTGAAAATGTGGAGGGAGTCATCATAAACATGGGTTATTGTTTCGTTTGAAGGGGGACATATTTGTTCAGTGTCCAAATGACTAGGTCACCTTAGGTTATTTGGAAGTATTTCGGGAAATGTGTATGTTTACCACCCTTACTGCCGAGGCTTTTTTTCTGAAGCACATTTGTTGTCTACTAAATAGTGAACGTTGTGAAGGAATTCAGTCACGTAAAACTGGGTCTACATTTAGATGTGGGCTTATGCAGAGATAGAGAATATCGGATGTACAAATTCAAATACACGCACACGCCTTTGTTTACATAGTTACTCATGTTTTTGTGCAGTGCATGTTTCGAAACACAAATGTCATCTGATCAGTTACTTATGTCACATAATGTGGAAATAGATAGGCATAGGTCGACCTTTGCTGTTGCCGTCCGGCAACACAGAACCATTGACAAGTCCTTCAGACCGCTTGATATGAAACATGACGGGGTGTGAACGATGTCTATTAACTGAATACTAGAAAATTGGTGCACTTGCAGAAATACTGAATGAGACCGATGTATCTACAGGTCGGGGCCTGCTCCTTTCTGTTAAAAAGCGGCAAACGAGACCAACAACATTCTCTAACTGGACAATTTAAAGTCTTCGCTTTAAAGTAATTAGATATCATCACAAGAATATTCCATTATTATATCATTACAGCTTGTGTTAAACCTAATTGTTGAAGTATCCACATATATTTGCCAAGTATCTATATATTGCCAGCTGTCAAGGTAACGGTGGAGTAGATTGTGTCCTTCTACATTAGATCCGGTTGTGAAAGCCAATTGGATAGTGTATCGTATATGCTATGTGTGGTAGTAGACCTCTACATAACCAGCAGCAGTATAAACCAACTCGATATATTGTGTGTAGATCTAGTACTAAACCACCAACTGGATATATTGTATGTAGAGCTATTACTAAACCAACAACTGGATATATTCTGTGTAGATTTAGTACCAAACCACCAGAATATGTTGTTTGTAGATCAAGTACTAAACCACCAACTGGATATATTGTATGAATATCTATTACTAAACCACCAAATGGATATATTTTGTGTAGATTTAGTACTAAACCACCATCTGGATATATTGTATGTAGATCTAGTACTAAACCATCAACTGGATATATTGTATGTAGATCTAGTACTAAACCACCAACTGGATATATTGTATGTAGATCTATTACTAAACAATCAACTGGATATATTATATGTAGATCTAGTTCTAAACCACCAACTGGATATATAGTATGTAGATCTATTACTAAACCACCAACTGGATATATTTTGTGTAGATTTAGTACTAAACCACCAGAATATATTGTTTGTAGATCAAGTACTACACCACCAACTGGATATATTGTATGAATATCTATTACTAAACCACCAACTGGATATATTCTGTGTAGATTTAGTACTAAACCACCATCTAGATATATTGTATGTAGATCTAGTACAGACCACCAACTGGATATATTGTACGTACCTCTAGTACTAAACCACCAACTGGATATATTGTATGTAGATGTAGCATTAAACCACCAACTGGATATATTGTATGTAGATCTAGTACTAAAATATCAACTGGATATATTATATGTAGATCTAGTTCTAAACCACCAACTGGATATATTGTATGTAAATGTAGTAATAAGCCACCAACTGGATATATTGTATGTAGATCTAGTTCTAAACCACCAACTGGATATATTGTATGTAGATCTAGTACTAAACCACCAACTGGATATATTGTATGTATATCTAGTACTAAACTACCAACGTGATATATTGTATGTAGATCTAGTACTAAACCACCAAGTGGATATATTGTATGTAGATCTAGTACTAAACCACCAACTGGATATATTGTATGTAGATCTAGTACTAAAGTACCAACTGGAAATAGTGTATGTAGATCTAGTACTAAACTACCAACCTGATATATTGTATGTAGATTTAGTACTAAACCACCAACTGGATTTATTGTATGTAGTAGTAGTACTAAACCACCAACTGGATATATTGTATGTAGATCTAGTACCAAATTACCTACTGGATATTTTTTGTATGTAGATCTAGTACTAAACCACCAACTGGATATATTGTATGTAGATCTAGCACTAAACTACCATCTGGATATTTTGTATGTAGATCTAGTACTAAACCACCAACTGGATATATTGTATGTAGATCTAGTACTTAACCACCAACTGGATATATTGTATGTAGATCTAGTACTAAACCACCAACTGGATATATTGTATGTAGATCTAGTACTAAACCACCAACCGGATAAATTGTGTGTAGATATAGTACTAAACTATCAACTTGATATATTGTATGTAGATCTAGTACTAAACCACCAACTGGATATATTGTATGTAGATCTAGTACTAAACCACCAACTGGATATATTGTATGTAGATCTAGTACTAAACCACCAACTGGATATATTGTATGTAGATCTAGTACTAAACCACCAACTGGATATATTGTGTAGATGTAGATCTCAACTGGTACTGTATGTAAACTACCAACTGGATATTTTGTATGTAGATCTAGTACTAAACCACCAACTGGATATATAGTATGTAGATCTAGTACTAAACTACCAACTGGATATTTTGTATGTAGATCTAGTACTAAACTACCAACTGGATATATTGTATGTAGATCTAGTGCTTACTACTAAACCACCAACTGGATATAATATGGTGAGCTAGTATTTAAATCATGACAGAATATTAAGATGGAGTACAAAAAGAACAACTGGATATAATGTATAGGTCTTGTGCATGTATTTAAACATACAGGGTCTTGTAACACCAAAACTAGCATCAAAGTACATTTAACTAAGACCAGAGACCATATAATAAATGGTCTCTGCTAAGACCCTGCATAGACAATATACTCATATGGTTTTAATGTTACCATCCCCAAGTCTTAAAACCTACTGCACATTATTTATAGATCTATTGCTAATGATAAACTGAATATAATGTATGGAACTAGTATCTGTCGTTTCTGAAATGTAACTCTTATTGTTCCGCGTCAAGGAGGTGAGAGCAGTAGGCAGGACTGTGGTACTGGAATGTCTCGCCAGTGTCAACACTTGTATCACAGATCAGGATAAGTTATTGTTCCACGTCAAGGAGGTGAGAGCAGTAGGCAGGACTGTGGTACTGGAATGTCACGCCAGTGTCAACACTTGTATCACAGATCAGGATAAGTTATTGTTCCACGTCAAGGAGGTGAGAGCAGTAGGCGGGACTGTGGTACTGGAATGGCACGCCAGTGTCAACACTTGTATCACAGATCAGGATAAGTTATTGTTCCACGTGAAAGGAGGTGAGAGCAGTAGGCAGCAGGACTGTGGTACTGGAATGGCACGCCAGTGTCAACACTTGTATCACAGATCAGGATAAGTTATTGTTCCACGTCAAGGAGGTGAGAGCAGTAGGCAGGACTGTGGTACTGGAATGTCACGCCAGTGTCAACACTTGTATCACAGATCAGGATAAGTTATTGTTCCACATCAAGGAGGTGAGAGCAGTAGGCGGGACTGTGGTACTGGAATGGCACGCCAGTGTCAACACTTGTATCACAGATCAGGATAAGTTATTGTTCCACGTCAAGGAGTTGAGAGCAGTAGGCAGGACTGTGGTACTGGAATGGCACGCCAGTGTCAACACTTGTATCACAGATCAGGATAAGTTATTGTTCCACATCAAGGAGGTGAGAGCAGTAGGCAGGACTGTGGTACTGGAATGGCACGCCAGTGTCAACACTTGTATCACAGATCAGGATAAGTTATTGTTCCACGTCAAGGAGGTGAGAGCAGTAGGCAGGACTGTGGTACTGGAATGGCACGCCAGTGTAAACACTTGTATCACAGATCAGGATAAGTTATTGTTCTACGTCAAGGAGGTGAGAGCAGTAGGCAGGACTGTGGTACTGGAATGGCACGCCAGTGTAAACACTTGTATCACAGATCAGGATAAGTTATTGTTCCACGTCAAGGAGGTGAGAGCAGTAGGCGGGACTGTGGTACTGGAATGGCACGCCAGTGTCAACACTTGTATCACAGATCAGGATAAGTTATTGTTCTACGTCAAGGAGGTGAGAGCAGTAGGCGGGACTGTGGTACTGGAATGTCACGCCAGTGTCAACACTTGTATCACAGATCAGGATAAGTTATTGTTCTACGTCAAGGAGGTGAGAGCAGTAGGCGGGACTGTGGTACTGGAATGGCACGCCAGTGTCAACACTTGTATCACAGATCAGGATAAGTTATTGTTCCACGTCAAGGAGGTGAGAGCAGTAGGCAGGACTGTGGTACTGGAATGTCTCGCATGTGTCAACACTTGTATCACAGATCAGGATAAGTTATTGTGAAGAAGTTGAAACTGGAATACAGAATGTTTTCATTCACGTCTAAAGACTGTTATATACCTTAGGTCTGAACAAAATGTACAGTGTAATTTCCTGTGTTCTATTGATAGTCTGTGACATCGCGAGTACAATGTACAAGTTTCTGTTACAGTGACACAGAAAGACTCGAACCCGCGCCATGTCGACGCCCTCCTTGCTGCCTGCCGTGGTGGGAACATGGCCGAGGTGAAGCGTGTCCTAGATCTGGGACAGGTGGACATCAACTTTAGAGGAAGAGGATGGGGGAGCCTGACACCGGTGATGGAGGCAGCACTAGGGGGACACAGAGAAGTGATGGAGCTGCTACTGAGTAGAGGAGCTGATGTGTCACTGGTGGACAAGGACGGAAACAACACCCTTCACTTGGCCTGTCATGGAGGCGACGTGGGGGCGGTGGAGTTGATACTGTCCCAGGACGTGGTGGACGTCAACGCCAGAAACAACCGCGGGCAGACAGCGGCCGACATGGCGAGAGGCAGGGGACAACATCAACTGGCGGATCTCCTCGTGTCATGTGGTGCTCGGTGAAGTCGTGTGGTGTGGTGTAGACAGTGACGATGCTGTTACTGACACTGACGTGGTGCGTTCCGTTCACGTCGTCGTATTTACATTGTGGGACCAAGTTTAGAATTGTGGTTGTGTTTGAGGAGAAATAAAACTTGTTGAAAACATTTTTAGACATTTTGTCATTTGTTTTCATATGGATGTTTTCATGATCAGGCAAGAAGATTGTTGACTGAGTGCAATATTTATATACAACATGAAAGTTGACACAGTGGCGGACATTTATATGTGATTTATGCAACAAACTGATTCACAGACATGTGACAAACAGACAACAAACTGTTTGTTTACATCTCGATACATCTGAGGCCATGTTCGCCCAGCTGACGGGGCGCCAAATGTACAGTGACGGTGACGTCACAATGCCTTTTACGTCATGGTTGTTACCCAGTTGCCAGACAGGGATACGGGACTTGGTTTTCAGTTTGTTACAATGAACATAATTGTATTTCTCCTAATGTTTTCTTGATTTGTGGCATCAAGCTAGACAAAGAACACCCGTCTATATATATTTACAATCTGGTTGGTACTTGTGCAAGTGTGTGGTCAACCGCACCTTCAACGTAGAAGACTTGTACATGCGAGCAGTCACAGCGGCGACGGAGTCGGACAGGTTGCACATCGGGTTTTCCATTCACACCTCAATGAACCGGGAGGAAAAACACAATTATATTGAACTTGTCTAACTTGGTAATTAATTTCTGATCCACATGGAATACGCGTTATCAAGAAAATGCATATCATACAATATTTAACACACCAGAGAACATATATGGTGTTATGCAAATGAGTCTTGTTTACGTCAGCTGGCTGTCTACCGTTCAGTGCCGCACTGTGATGACGTCGGTTTCAAATATGTATACATTGTATACAATGTTACAACGTTCACAGTGTAACTGAATTGTATAGCATTCAACTTGTATTGATTATTTTTCAAACAGCGTCTTTTCAATTGCATGTCCTCCTTGCCTTGTCTTGCCGTGTCGGTTTGCTACTTTTCAACATAAATCATTATATCGAAACCTTCGATATGGCTAGTAAGCTCCCTAGTTTGAAATCTCGATGTCCAACAATTCATATCACTGTATAAAGTACATTCCTTGCGATAACAGATAGATGCCATCCATGTCAAATTAAGGGTCACTGAAAATTGTCGGTGAGTTAGATTTCCCTCCAACCAATCCTGCTGAAATAGTCCGTGTATTTGACGTCAATACCAAATAGACAGAAGTGTTTAAGATTAGTTCATGCGCAGTCTGTCTTCAAAGTAACGTTACACAGAACAGTTTAGATCAAACATCTGGTTGAAAATCCTGATCCTCCTATCTGGTTATGGCCTGAAAACCAGTTGTAAGATGAATCAGTTTCTACAAGCAAATCTGTCGGGGTACATGGCCCCAGTCAGTCTCCGCATACCTGTTGATTATAAACTCATACCTATGACGGCTCTGTTATTCCTTGTGCCATAGCGACTGATTCAGGACAGCCATTGTCCGGATACACATTTATTTCCAAACACACCCAATTATTTATTTGATGCTAATCGACATTCTCAATCCTTATCTTCACTATCAAACCGTGCCACTCATCAGTGAGTGTTGTTTATAGGCCAAGTGTTTGCACGGAAATTAACCTTTTTGTCTTGCACGTTTTCTGCATAAAAAGTGTTTGTCAAGCAGTCTCAAAGCCAAAACAGTACAGATATCATAAGTGACTAATTAGGACATTTGTAGCCTGAACTGCAGCTGGTTGTAACGGTTAAGGTACGAAGATGAGTTCTTTATGGCTGTAGAAAGAACTCGGGGTGTGTTGACGAACAGCTCATAAGCGAACACAGGTAATACTATTTAACAGAATAGCATACTTATTTTACGCTTTACCTGATAGGTAACGTTTGGGAAATAACATGTTATATTTTGTTATTACTATTCAGAACCCAGTTTGCGCTGCGCACAATGTTTCTTTCACTAGTTCAATACATGAGAACGCGCTTTTTTGCATGGCCGACAGACAATATGCTGTCGCAGTGTTACTTTTTTCCGGTGCTAGGAAAGTTAGGAAATTCACTAGTCTATTTTCAAAGAATATAATTAAATGTATTTTCACTTCCTATATAGGCATTCTTTGCAGAGTACAGGTATTTTATAAAACTGTCAGGAGTTTGCTTTTTGTTGAGTATTTTACTAGCTCTTCACTTATTATGGCTGTGCGATGCACCTGTAAGCATAATCTATGCAAGAGTATCTTCCCTGTGAAAGTTATGTGGTTTTTTTCAAAACATACAAATCATAATGTAAACTGATGTTTATCTGATGTTCTCTATGGTAAAACGTCCAAAAGCTGCAATGGGAGACTTTCTGCTTGACTTGGCGACGGCAGAAAGGATGGTGGTGGCGACGGCAGAAAGGATGGTGGTGGCGACGGCAGAAAAGATGGTGGCGATGGCAGGAAAGATGGTGACAACTGTGGCGACTACAGGAAGGAAGGCGACAAGCGTTTCCTTTCGTTTTCTTTCAACTTTCTTTGTGAAATTATTTGGAGAAATGAAAAAAAACACATTTGAGTTGAGTTCTATTTTCAGTCAATACAATTTTGATAACTATCATTAGATGTCTTGATGTAAAGTGATAATTCTGTTTTAAGGTCTATCTGCCGTAGATGTATTTGGTAACATTAAAATAAACTGTTCTTTCTGCACGTTCTATCTGCGGTAGAAAGCACCGAGTCGCGTTCTATCTGCGGTAGAAAGCACTCGCCATAAATAGAAATATCACTTTACACTAGGCAATGGAGTATAATGGTCTCGCCTAGTTCTTACTTGCTGGGGGCGGTGGGGTAGCCTAAAGCGTTGACTCGTCACGCAGAAGACCCTGGTTCGAATCCCCACATGGGTAGAATGTGTGATGAAGCCAATGTCTGGTGTCCCCTGCCGTGATGTTGCTGGAATATTGCTAAAAGCGGCGTAAAACCAAAACTCAGTCAGTCAGTCAGTCTTACTGGCTGGTTTTGGTATAGTGCATAACAATGGAGTGACGTCACATGAGTTTTATAAGTCCCTTAGTCGTGTCTGACACAACGTCACGTTTAAGGTAGTTTGTTGTGTTTGTAAATCGTTGTCTCTTCGTCTGTCCAGTGTGGTCTATAACTATATATAGTCTCTCTTCACCTACGATTTGGACCCTAGTTATGGTTGAAAGGTCCTGTGGCTTTTGTTCAAGCAGAAAGTCACACAGACGCGAGATAGTAGCCCCAAAGGCTTGAATTGTTAGAACATTGTTCAACGTGAAGGACAAGTTAACTATTGAAAAGCCGAAGTCATCCATCATGTCGCACAGTGTTACAAGAAGTTGTTTTGGGCTGTTTTTTTCACTTTAAATGTTTATGTCAAGAACATAGACTTGTATATTTCTGGAGTATATGAAACAGTCTCACTGGTCGGGTGGGTAAATCAGTAGAAGAGAACTGACGATGGTAATAAACGGTGTCAGGTCATCACTTTCCCTGAGCCTAAAGTGAACGCTCTGGCCAAATCGTCTTGTGTCGATGTTGGAAATGGTAAAGAACGTAAAGAACGGCAAGACATGGGGATGCCTTCTTCTCACGTAAATTTCTTACCCCCAAACTTAAACAGTACCAAATAAGAAGCCAAATGGTATGTGTGTTCTATTTTCTCAATTGAGTACAGATTCGATAACTATTTTGTTGAGTCATATCGGAATTCGAACCCGCATTGTCAGAGCGACGCACCTGATGGCTAGCACACAACGTCAGCTATCTAACCCACTCAGCCACCACGCCTTCCCGTCAAATGGAAATCTGACAACTCGTAGTCTTGATCACGTACTTTGTGTACGCCTCCGACATTTCACGTATTGTGTCTCAGTAAACTTAAAATGGCGTATATTTTCATTGTTGACAAATTGTCCTTCATAAACATATCCATGAAATTGTGTTAGTAGTAGCTTACAGTGGTGTACAAAACTAAAAAGCTAATGTTTTGACCAGAATTTAGAGTCTTTACTGAGATTACAAAACGTCAAGCAGATTCATGGAGTTTTCAGAATCCTCATGACATAAACTCCATTTGTATCAAAGACTTTCTGAGAATACTAATGTCAACTAGTCGCTCTTCGTGCCGTGGCAGGGGCCCTGGGGTGGCCTAGTGGTTAAAGCGGTTGCTCGTCACTTGTATCAAAAACTTTCGGTGAATACTAATGTCAACTACTCGCACTTCGTGCCGTGGCAGCTACTAGGGTGGCCTAGTGGTTAAAGCGGTTGCTCATCACTTGTATCAAAGACTTTCAGAGAATACTAATGTTGACTAGTTGCTCTTCATGTCGTGGCAGGGGCCCTGGGGTGGCCTAGTGGTTAAAGCGGTTGCTCATCACTTGTATCAAAGACTTTCAGTGCATACTAATGTCAACTACTCGCTCTTCGTGCCGTGGCAGGGGCCCTGGGGTGGCCTAGTGTTTAAAGCGGTTGCTCGTCACTTGTATCAAAGACTTTCAGTGAATACTAATGTCAACTACTCGCTCTTCGTGCCGTGGCAGCTACTAGGGTGGCCTAGTGGTTAAAGCGGTTGCTCGTCACTTGTATCAAAGACTTTCAGTGAATACTAACGTCAACTACTCGCCCTTCGTGCCGTGGCAGGGGCCCTGGGGTGGCCTAGTGGTTAAAGCGGTTGCTAGTCACTTGTATCAAAGACTTTCGGTGAATACTAATGTCAACTACTCGCACTACGTGACGTGGCAGCTACTAGGGTAGCCTAGTGGTTAAAAGCGGTTGCTCGTCATTTATATCAAAGACTTTCGGTGAATACTAATGTCAGCTACTCGCACTTCGTGCCGTGGCAGCTACTAGGGTAGCCTAGCGGTTAAAGCGGTTGCTCGTCACTTGTATCAAAGACTTTCAGTGAATACTAATGTCAACTATTCACTCTTCGTGCCGTGGCAGCTACTAGGGTAGCCTAGTGGTTAAAGCGGTTGCTCGTCACTTGTATCAAAGACTTTCGGAGAATACTAATGTCAACTACTCGCTCTTCGTGCCGTGGCAGGGGCCCTGGGGTGGCCTAGTGGTTAAAGCGGTTGCTCGTCACTTGTATCAAAGACTTTCGTAGAATACTAATGACAACTACTCGCTCTTCGTGCCGTGGCAGTTACTAGGGTGGCCTAGTGGTTAAAGCGGTTGCTCGTCACGCCGAAGACGCGGGTTCGATTCCCAATATGGGTACAATGTGTGAAGCCCATATGTTGTTTCCCCCACCATATCTGGAATATTGCTGAAATCGATGTAAAACTAAACTCACTCACTCATGACAGCACATTAGAGTCATTCAGTTGTCTGTCTCCAGATTCTATTCATTACATTAATTTACAGAATATGATAAACTGTTCCGTAAAAGTGTTGAACGTTTCTCGTCAATCTTTGTAACGTTTCAACACTTTTTGAAAAGCTATGTTGCTTTACAAAATAGAGCATCTCTACCGCCTTCGGAAACAGTGCTCTGGTCAAGTTTGATGGTGTTGCCTACTAAATATGTCAGAGCCTCGGATGAAATGAATACTTCCAATAATACAACAATGAATGTTTTGACTCCGATTTAAGAAAGATGATAAATGACCAGTTATGCGATGGGTTTGCTTGGTGTCCTGACATGAAGATTGTTAACAGTAGATGAAAGTTTTGTGACGGTATATGCGTGTATCCATATATTGAAGACTATAGACCTGTGTGGTATGCTTGGTGTCCTGACATGAAGATTGTTAACAGTAGATGATATTTTTTGACGGTATAAGCGTGTATCAATATATTACAGACTACAGACCTGTGAGGTATGCTTGGTGTCCTGACATGAAGATTGTTAACAGTAGATGATATTTTTGTGACGGTATATGTGTGTATCCATATATTGAAGACTATAGACCTATGTGGTATGCTTCGTGTCCTGACATGAAGATTGTTAACAGTAGATGATATTTTTGTGACGGTATATGCGTGTATCCATATATTACAGACTATAGACGTGAGGTATGCTTTGTGTCCTGACATGAAGATTGTTAACAGTAGATGATATTTTTGTGACGGTATATGCGTGTATCCATATATTGAAGACTATAGACCTGTGTGGTTTGCTTGGTGTCCTTACATGAAGATTGTTAACAGTAGATGATATTTTTGTGACGGTATATGCGTGTATCCATATATTGAAGACTATAGACCTGTGTGGTATGCTTGGTGTCCTGACAAGAAGATTGTTAACTGTAGATGATATTTTTGTCACGGTATATGCGTGTATCCATATATTGAAGACTATAGACCTATGTGGTATGCTTGGTGTCCTGACACGAAGATTGTTTACAGTAGATGATATTTTTGTGACGGTATATGCGTGTATCCATATATTACAGACTATAGACGTGAGGTATGCTTGGTGTCCTGACATGAAGATTGTTTACAGTAGATGATAGTTTTGTGACGGTATAAGCGTGTATCAATATATTACAGACTACAGACCTGTGAGGTATGCTTGGTGTCCTGACATGAAGATTGTTAACAGTAGATGATATTTTTGTGACGGTATAAGCGTGTATCAATATATTACAGACTATAGACCTGTGAGGTATGCTTGGTGTCCTGACATGAAGATTGTTAACAGTAGATGATATTTTTGTGACGGTATATGCGTGTATCCATATATTGAAGACTATAGACCTGTGTGGTTTGCTTGGTGTCCTGACATGAAGATTGTTAACAGTAGATGATATTTTTGTGACGGTATATGCGTGTATCCATATATTGCAGACTATAGACCTGTGTGGTTTGCTTGGTGTCCTGACATGAAGATTGTTTACAGTAGATGAGATTTTGTGATACCATATGCGTGTATCAATATATTACAGAGTATAGACCTGTGTGGTATGCATGATTTATTACAAGATGAGGTGTAAAATGGTTCGTCGGCAACGCCAGTCTATGTAGGACACTTTCCATCTGAAATAGCAGAAAAACACGTTTAGGGTAATCATTCTTTAAGTAAACATGGATGGCTTCCATTCTCAGACAATAGAGGCAGAAAATCTTGTCCTGTGTGAAAGGACACAATTGCATCCTCGTGTTTGATATTGTGTTGATGCATTTTCGATGCTTTCTCACTTATTTCTAACCAATAATGTTTAACAGGGTTTTCACCCATTATTAATCTCGATCGAATCTTATTGTAAGAAATGACGTCATGGCCGATGATTGCTGACGTCATTCCACAATAGTTGTGTTTCTAATAAAATGGCTGTCGTGATCAGTGCCTGTTTCTAAAGTGGAGCACAAAATGGTTAAGAAATAACGAGTAATAAAGAAAGTATTACACTTACTTGTGTGTCAAACTAATTTTGGGAAACATGTTTAAGAATTCATGTCTTACACTCTCGTCTGAGAAATACAAGAAATGTGTTTATTTGTATATCTAGTATATCTAGTGTATATCTAGTATATATCCAGTGTATATCTAGTATATATCCAGTGTATATCTAGTATATCTAGTGTATATCTAGTATATATCCAGTGTATATCTAGTATATATCCAGTGTATATCCAGTGTATATCTAGTGTATATCTAGTATATATGCAGTGTATATCTAGTATATCTCGTGTATATCTAGTATATCTCCAGTGTGTATCTAGTATATATCTAGTATATATCCAGTGTATATCTAGTATATATCCAGTGTATATCCAGTGTATATCTAGTATATATCCAGTGTATATCCAGTGTATGTCTAGTGTATATCTAGTATATATGCAGAGTATATCTAGTATATCTAGTGTATATCTAGTATATATCCAGTGTATATCTAGTATATATCCAGTGTATATCCAGTATATATTCAGTGTATATCTAGTATATATCCAGTGTATATCTAGTGTATATCTAGTATATATCCAGTGTATATCTAGTATATATCCAGTGTATATCCAGTGTATATCTAGTGTATATCTAGTTTATATGCAGAGTACATCTAGTATATATCCAGTGTATATCCAGTTTATATTCAGTGTATATCTAGTATATATCCAGTGTATATCCAGTGTATATCTAGTGTATATCTAGTATATATCCAGAGTATATCTAGTATATATCCAGTGTATATCCAGTATGTATCTAGTATATATCCAGTGTATACATGGTGTATAGCTACTCACAGGTGCCAGAGGGGGTGGTGCAGACAGCGTGGCCGCCGAATCTGGTGCAGCACTTATTCTTAGGGCAATCACTATGAGCCTGACACCCGCGAGTTAATGGAGACGCACACGTTCCTGAAATAAAACAGTTTGAATATCAACCATGATACATGTATACTAGCGTTTTATTGTCTTCCAACCTGTGTCACGGGGCACTTAAATAACTGACTGACTGAATGACTTTCTTGAAGCTGGTGAGTGAAACCGGACATATACAGCAAGAAACGTATGGTTTACACGTGTAATATCAATACTTCACAGAACTTGTTTGTCGTCAGTGCAGCTTGATAACGGTGGAAGAATATACAACCGAAATCGCTAAATGAATAAACAAGATGTAGTATCCATAACTGAAGGAACGCAAAGGCCTGTTTCCCCTGATAATACACGTATACCTTAGTTCAGAGTCATAAGACCACCCGATCCCCAATGTCCAGCTATGAGGCCACCCGATCAACAATGTCTACCCCTAACAACACGGCCATGTGTTACTGACCTTGGTGTGAGTCGGGAGCGTCGGGGTTCGGTGTGCAGGTGAAGCCCACCTCGCAAGCACACATGGCGTCAAGGGGGGTGTTGGTATTCGGGGTCAAGTTACAACCTGTAACATACACCATACATAGGAAACTGAAATATATTGTTTACAAACCGTGTGAGTACAAGAAAGATACGTTAAAACGCCTGTCAGATAAATCGTGTTAGTATTAACCTCAACAACTGTAAAATGTGAGCAAGTTGAATAGGCGTTAAACATTTTAGGCTTGGATTCGTGCCGTAATTCGTGACTTTTCTCATGGAACGCGTTGGATGTGACCAGCTGTCTGACACATACCAGGATTCACACGTTGAATAATTATAAGGTAGCATTGATATTTACAACTTTCTGGCTTGAGAATGCTGATTCAACTCCGCTGTGAACAATATGCCAGTCATGTCATGGCGTGTCGACTCTGAGGGGCACGTCCGACTGTCAATCTGAGTTTATCAACTCGAAGACACATTTGCGGAATACTTTTGAAAATCATTTTTGACGTTTGTGGGCAATTCGTGAGACAGTATCTGCCTTTGTTAGCTTAAATTCCATATTAGGATAGACTGGTCCTTGTGATAGGTGAGCTACCAAACTTACTGCTTTTCTCAAGGCGATGGGGAGTACATACTCCTGTCGCACTTCCAGGAGAAGTCTCCTTACAGCATTCGTGAGCTCCGCAATCCGCCTGTCTCGTGCAGGTTTTGGGCGGACTGTTGCAGTACTGTGTGAAGAGCTCCCCTGAAACAAACGTGGCCTTTCATTAAAAGTTAGCAAAGGCACGATCACTGGATGACGTCATCTTTATGTATTTCTGACAATGCGTGGATGTGGTGTCACGTCGTTAGAGGCTGCTTCGAGAGATTTAAACTATGTAGCGATGAAAATGACTTAGTCTAACAGCATAAGGTTGAAATAAAGAAATTGTTCGAAAAGAGTTATTAAAATCAAGTGCACCGATTGTGTGCAGTATTAGTACGGCACATAGGCGTTGTTTTTTTCAATAAGCCGACATTTTGTAATCGTTTATTTATAGTCAAACTAAAGTGGTTTAACGAGAGCACAGGTACTTTTACTCCCTTGGTATATATCAACAGAACTAGCCTGATCGTGGTATGGTCTCTATCTGAAGGCATCGATCAGTGGGTATCAGAAGGGCAGGAAATGTCTACTCACTCATCAGACAAATCCCGGCAGAAACACGCCACGTGCGGACGCAGCACTGACCACTCGAACAGTAGGCATCCGTCTGACAATCACCGGACACGCCCTGCTGGAAGAGGAAGATATAGATATAACAGTAGGTGTCTGTCAGACAATCACCGGACACGCCCAGCTGGAAGAGGAAGATATAGATAAAACAGTAGGCATCCGTCTGACAATCACCGGACACGCCCTGCTGGAAGAGGAAGATATAGATATAACAGTAGGTGTCTGTCTGACAATCACCGGACACGCTCTGATGGAAGAGGAAGATATAGATATAACAGTAGGTGTCTGTCAGACAATCACCGGACACGCCCTGCTGGAAGAGGAAGATATAGATATAACAGTAGGTGTCTGTCTGACAATCACCGGACACGCCAAGCTGCAAGAGGAAGATATAGATATAACAGTAGGTATCTGTCAGACAATTACCGGACACGCCCTGCTGGAAGAGGAAGATATAGATATAACAGTAGGTGTCTGTCAGACAATCACCGGACACGCCCTGCTGGAAGAGGAAGATATAGATATAACAGTAGGTGTCTGTCAGACAATCACCGGACACGCCCTGCTGGAAGAGGAAGGTATAGATATAACAGTAGGTGTCTGTAAGACAATCACCGGACACGCCCTCCTGGAAGAGGAAGATATAGATATAACGTATATAGACGTATAAATATAGGTACATGTGGAGGTAGAGATATAGGTAGATGTAAACGTATAAATATAGATACATATAAACGTATAAATATAGGTACATATATACGTATAAACATAGATGCATATGAACGTATAAATATAGATACATATAAACGTAAAAATATAGGTACATATAGACTGCTTCAGTGCGGCTTTTATTCCAAGCAGGCGTGGAGAGAGTGAGTGAGTGAGTTGGCTTTTACGCCGCTTTTAGCAATATTCCAACAATAACATGGCGGGAGACACCAGAAATGGACTTCACATTATGCCCATGTGGGGAATCGAAGCCGAGTCTTTGGCACGACGAGCAAAACGCTTTAACCACTAGGCTACCCCACTCCCCGGAGTGGGGAATAACTTCAACTACCATATCCTTCTATATGCAGGGCGATGGGGGCTCACAGAGTTTGTTCGCTCACCCGGGCTCGATTCCCCACGTGGGTGCAATGTTTGAAGCCATTTTCTGGTGTCCCCCCGCCGTGATATTGATGGAATATTGCTAAAAGCGGCGTAAAACTCGACTCACCCACTCACTCACTCAGTGCCCTATACGAAATAATACGAACGCGTTGTCCACTGTTTTGGCGACCTAGTAATGGACTTTGGGAGTTGATATTTTAGAATATCCCAAAAATTTGCAAATATTGCTCTCTAATTCTACCACGATTGTTATAGATACGGTAGTGGCCATTTTATCCTGTTAGTACATTGATAAACGAGAAGGTAATATATTACAATGACGTCATCCTAACTGTATCCAACTCCCACCTAGCTACAGTTACGCCGTGTCGCCGACCAGTAGCACACTTCCTCTATATATACGTAATAGTAGATCAAATGTAACGAACGTTGAATACTTACAATGGCGGCGAGAGCTACAGTTGTGAGGATCAGGTAGAGCTCCATGCTGACAAGTTTGGGACTGAAATGAAAATCCTCTCCGCGTCAGCTATTTGTACCCCTAATGATTGGTGGATTCTCCCCGGGCACCTGTCACTCAAACCTCTCTGTGTGTCACGTTATCACACATAACACTTCTAAGGGAGTTATTTCTATATCAACCCTTCCCATTCGAGAATTAATTGTGGTGTGATAAAGCTAATTAGTCCAACAGGGAAGTATACCTCTGTAAGTCATAACTATAAACATCTATTTATGACAGTTTCGAATGGTTTTAATTACCCGAGATGGCGGTTTATGAGTGACATCTACCTGAACATCATTAGGCATCAATGTTTTGTTTTCTCATAAAATGAATAAATCAACTTTTCATTATTCTCTTTGTGTTGAGAATCGTTATAAATTCTTTTAATTTCTTGAACAGGACTACGACTTGCGCGTCAAAATCTTGGTTCAGTATGAAAATACATGCTGAAATGTTTCCACTGTCCAGAGACGAACGTCGTTTGCAATGTGTCACGTTTTATCACTGCCTATTTTGTCAGGTTACTGATCTTGACGTGATCCCAGGGTGTCACTGGGCCAGACGGTCTAAACTACCGGTACACTCAAGCTAAATTAACACAAAAAACACCCCACACCATGCAACTTCCGCCCCCAAATCTGTCGACCTGTACACAACATTGAGCATACCGTTTACGACGTCGTCTCCAGACTCTATGCCTGCCGTCCGCGAATCCGAGGGTAAACCTGGATTCATCGCTAAAGACGACTACATTTCCAGTCTCTCTGGGTCGATCGGAGATGACTTTGGGCCCACAGCAGACGTTGACGTTGATGAAACGGCGTCAATATTGGCCCACGATATGGACGTCGAGAATGGAGATTGGCAGCCCGTAACCTATTACGAATGGTCTGTGAGGACAGTCGACCTCTAAACATCTCAGCCCTGGTTCGTGTAGCCGGCAGAAATCTGTCACGTAGGTGACGTAGGACGATTTGACAGTCTTCTGCTCGTGACGTCACACGTGGACGACCCGATCTTGGGCGATCAGAAGTGGTGCAAGTTGGTTGTAGACGACCTCGCAAGTCATACACAGTACGACGTCTGCATCCCATTGCTCTTGCGACGTCAATAACTGATCTTCCCGCTTGCAACATGCCAACGGCACGTTCACGTTGCATATTTGACAATCGTGGCATTTCAAGTACCGTTAGAACTGTGGTTTAAAGTGTTTTCAATTCTTGAGGCCTATGCAAACACGTGCATATGAAGAAAACTTCGATGCGCAGATCACGTGATCGACTGCACGTGCAAAACTTGATTTGGCACTAACGTCATTTGCACGACGAATGGATGGGTTTGAGTGGGTTTTGCTTACGTTTTTCTAGAGTCGACATATAGGGATCCCATTTCGGATACATAGATGTATCATTAGAGAAAAAAAATCATTATTTTTCAAATTACATTTTGTGAAGTTTCTTTTTTGACTCGGTATATATCCATGAAATTGTGTCAGTAGTAGCTTACAGTGGTGTACAAAATTGATTTTTTTTATTTTAACCAGAGTCTTTACTGAGATTACAAAACGTCAAGCAGATTCATGGAGTTTTCAGAATCCTCATGACATAAACTCCATTTGTATCAAAGACTTTCGGTGAATACTAATGTCAACTACTCGCTCTTCGTGCCGTGGCAGCTACTAGGGTAGCCTATTGGTTAAAGCGTTTGCTCGTCACTTGTATCAAAGACTTTCGGTGAATACTAATGTCAACTACTTGCACTTCGTGCCGTGACAGTTACTAGGGTAGCCTAGTGGTTAAAGCGGTTGCTCGTCACTAGTATGAAAAACTTTCGGTGAATACTAATGTCAACTACTCGCACTACGTGCCGTTGCAGCTACTAGGGTAGCCTAGTAGTTAAAGCGGTTGCTCGTCACTTGTATCAAAGACTTTCGGTGAATACTAATGTCAACTACTCGCACTTCGTGCCGTGGCAGCTACTAGGGTATCCTAGTAGTTAAAGCTGTTGCTCGTCACTTGTATTAAAGACTTTCGGTGAATACTAATGTCAACTACTTGCACTTCGTGCCGTGACAGTTACTAGGGAAGCCTAGTGGTTAAAGCGGTTGCTCGTCACTTGTATCAAAGACTTTCGGTGAATACTACTGTCAACTACTTGCACTTCGTGCCGTGACAGTTACTAGGGTAGCCTAGTGGTTAAAGCGGTTGCTCATCACTTGTATCAAAGACTTTCGGTGAATACTAATGTCAACATCACATTCTTAAACTAGATCTGGTTTCATCCGTTTCTGTGAAAGGAAAATGCATGCATGACATCTTCAATCACCAGAATTGTCCTTGTGCCGACAGACACATAACCATCTTATGTTGTTGTTATGACATACTGACATTTTATTATATCTCCCCGTGTTAGAACATTATTCGAAAGTCATCGACCGCGAGATCCATTACGACTTCGAACTGTAAAAATAAAGATCTACGCACCGGCGGCAAAATTGAGGGGACAAAATATACAACGCAAGCAAGAAATGCCAAATACTTTTGAAAAGAGCTATAAGTAACGAATTGAAGGTGATTGAAAACTTAATTCTATTATATATGTTGGATTTTACGGGAAATTGAATCGATTTAGAAAAAGTATCAATGGCCGTTTTCCAACTCGTGCCTATTTTACCTCCATGAGTGCTATGCCGTACGTGCTTCCGGTTTCATCAAGGGTGGGTACAATTACAAATATTGTGATACTGTTTCATGATCTGTATTATTTAGGGATTGAGTTGTTTTCTTTGAATGTTTTTGAGTTCAGATTCTGCTTATGAACGCGTATTTTCCAAAATCCTTGGTGTCTTGTCACCTGAAAAAAACGCGAGTTTGGCCACGCCCTTACGCGTCACCTACGGCTATCAACAATGTAAGCGTCGGAAGGTTTATCCAACAAAATCATTATAAACTCGATAAATATGATAATTATAATTTTGTTACAAGGACAATAGCATTTACTTAATCAGACAATGTGATTAATTCCAACGAAAATAGTTTGATCTATCAAAAGGATGGCACATATTCGGTATCACGATGCATGTGGAGTTGTTTGTTTACCGCCGTTGCCATGATCGTTCCTATTCGTCCAATCGGTGATGTAACATTGAGATTTTTGTTGTTTATAAATAATTAAACCGAGAGTTACTAATTTTTAGAAAAAGGGAAACTTCGGTGTTTTCCCTTCACCAAAGGACAAAAATATTGATCAAATTATTAAAAAAATATTTCATTATGAAAAATATTAGACTTGGTACCACTCGATGTGATGTGCCTGAAGTAAAAAATGGCCGTTATTTGCAGGCTGTGTGCCGAGAATTTTGGCTAACAAATTTTTAGTTCGCGGGCGTTCCGTTTTAAGGTACAAACACTAATTGAAGATTATAAATTTTAGAAAGCTGGGAAATTCATGCATTCCATACATAATTCAAATGACACATAAATCAGACTAGTTGAATAATTATTGCAAGTTTTATTTGGGGATGTCATTATGCTGCTCTCCTGTCGAATGGGTTCGACAGTAGCATTGAGAGGGTTAAAGCCATTTGCCTTGAGAGTTGAAATACATTTCTTGGCATCAGGCTTATTCGGCTCATCAAAATGAGTATTGAAATCACCCAATACAATGATTGAACCTTTTTTTAGTGTTCAGTGTCTCTATTAGAAGTGAAAAGTCATTATGGAACTCAGACATGGTAAGCTTATTTGTCTTCGATGGTGGGGGTCTGTAGATACACACCACCTTCGTAGATCTACTTTCAGCTGTAATCACTTTCTTTATCTGTTCAAATGCACTTTCCTACCCAGAGTTCCATGGGACCAGCATAGTACCTCTGCCACAGGCCAGAGAGATGTGATGATTCGTCACATCTCGTACAGTCCATTCAATGTATTGTTTTTATTTCTTACACTTTCATTTTTGACGAGTAAAGACATCTAGTTAATCCTATTTGATTGAATGGTTTACTTTCACAGAGAAAATATCCCAAAACATGTAACACTATTTCGATTTGCTCTTCTGATTTACGTATATGTACGTTTGTTTACAAACAAGGAAAAGTCCGGTCACGTGATATGCAAATTAGCCTATGGCAGTGATGATATGCTACGTCATCACTGCGCCGGAAGGAGTACAGATTCTATTTAGCTTTAACTGCAACACCTCCTCCCATGGCTGTTAGTCGTGGTAACTGTTTGAGTTCGTAGCCCTTTGGAACTAGATCAACTAAGACAGTTTCATCACCGGCTCGTTTTAACCAGTTGATCCACCAATTGCTTACGTCCCCCTTTTCTCGCCACGTCGGCCGCTGTCTGTCCTTCGTTGTTCCTGGCGTTGACGTCCACCACGTTCAGGGACAGTATCAACTCCACCGTCCCCGCATCATATCCCTGACAGGCCAAATGAAGGATGTTGTTACCGCCACCGTCCACCAATGACACATCAGCTCCTCTACTCAGTAAGAGCTCCATCACATCTCTGTGTCCCCGCTCTGCTGCCATCATCACAGGTGTCATGTTCCTCTCTCCTCTACAGTTGACGTCCAACACGTTCTGGGACAGGATCAACTCCACCGTCCCCTGGTCTCCTCCATAACAGGCCAAGTGAAGGGTGTTGTTACCGTCCTCGTCCACCAGTGACACATCAGCTCCTCTACTCAGTAGGAGCTCCACCATATCTCTGTGTCCCTCATCTACTGCCGCCATCACCGGTGTCGTGTTACTCCCTCCTCTACAATTGACGTCCACCACGTTGAGGGACAGGAGGAACTCCATCGTCCCTACGTCTCCTCCCTCACAGGCCCAGTGAAGGATGCTGTTACCGCCACCGTCCTCCAGAGACACATCAGCCCCTCTACTCAATAGCAGCTCCACCACATCTCTGTGCCCCGACCTTGCTGCCCACATCACCGGTGTCCAGCTCCACTCTCCCCTACAGTTGATGTCCACCTGGCCCAGATCCAGGACACGCTTCACCTCGGCCATGTTCCCATCAAGACAGGCAGCAAGGAGGTCGTCGACATGTCCGGGGTCGGAGTCCTTCTGTCTCACTGTAACAGAAACTTGTACATTGCACACGTGATGTCACTGTCTATCAATACAATACAGGAAATACTTGTACATTGTACACGTGATTTCACTGTGACGTTTGGTGCAGATCTAACGTCAAGAATAGTGCTTATCTACTGAACGAAGACACGTAATAAAAATTCTGTATTTACTGTTTCACCATAAACTTCTTCTCAGTACCTTATCCTGATCGGTGATACAAGTGTTGACACTGGCATGCCATTCCAGCACCACAGACCTGCCTACTGCTCTCACCTCCTTGACGTGGAACAATAACTTATCCTGATCTGTATAACAAGTGTTGACACTGGCGTGACATTCCAGTACCACATTCTTGCCTACTGCTCTCACCTCCTAGAAGTGGAACAATTACTTATCCTGATATGTGATACAAGTGTTGACACTGGCGTGACATTCCAGCACCACAGACCTGCCTACTGCTCTCACCTCCTTGACGTGGAACAATAACTTATCCTGATCTGTGATACAAGTGTTGACACTGGCGTGACATTCCAGTACCACAGTCCTGCCTACTGCTCTCACCTCCTTGACGTGGAACAATAACTTATCCTGATCTGTGATACAAGTGTTGACACTGGCGTGACATTCCAGTACCACAGTCCTGCCTACTGCTCTCACCTCCTTGATGTGGAACAATAACTTATCCTGATCTGTGATACAAGTGTTGACAACGGCGTGACATTCCAGTACCACAGTCATGCCTACTGCTCTCACCTCCTAGAAGTGGAACAATTACTTATCCTGATATGTGATACAAGTGTTGACACTGGCGTGACATTCCAGTACCACAGTCCTGCCTACTGCTCTCACCTCCTTGACGTGGAACAATAACTTATCCTGATCTGTGATACAAGTGTTGACACTGGCGTGACATTCCAGTACCACAGTCCTGCCTACTGCTCTCACCTCCTTGACGTGGAACAATAACTTATCCTGATCTGTGATACAAGTGTTAACACTGGCGTGACATTCCAGTACCACAGTCATGCCTACTGCTCTCACCTCCTTGACGTGAAACACTTCCACCAGCTTGCGACACTTTGCCGGTGGTTCCCCTCTCCATCACGTCACTCGAGGCTGAAGAAAAACAGTTAGGTTTCAGAAACGACAGACAGAAGTTCCATACATTATACTCAGTTCATGATTAGTAATAGATTAATACATCATTTGCAGTTGCATTTTAGGATTGGGGCTAGTAACATTAAAACCATATGCGTATGTTGTAACTACAGGGTCTTGGCAGAGACCATTTATTATATGGTCTCTGGTCAGTTAAATATACTTGGACGCTAGTTTTTGTGTTACGTGACCCTGTATTTGTAACTACACGCACAAGACCTATACATTATATCCAGTCGTTATATCCTTTTGTAATCGACCTTTTTATTCGTACTAGCTCTATACATTATATTCAGTAGATCTACATACAATATGTCCAGTTGCTGGTTTAGTACTAGATCTACATACAATATGTCCAGTTGCTGGTTTAGTACTAGATCTACATACAATATATCCAGTTGGTAGTTTAGTACTAGATCTACATACAATATATCCAGTTAATGGTTTAGTACTAGATCTACATACAATATATCCAGTTGGTGGTTTAGTACTAGATCTACATACAATATATCCAGTTGGTGGTTTAGTACTAGATCTACATACAATATATCCCAGTTGTTTGGTTTACATACAATATAGATCTACATACTAGACAATATATCCAGTTGATGGTTTAGTACTAGATCTACATACAATATATCCAGTTGGTGGTTTAGTACTAGATCTACATACAATATATCCAGATGATGGTTTAGTACTAGATCTACATACAATATATCCAGTTGGTGGTTTAGTACTAGATCTACATACAATATATCCAGTTGGTGGTTTAGTACTAGATCTACATACAATATATCCAGTTGGTGGTTTAGTACTAGATCTACATACAATATATCCAGTTGGTGGTTTAGTACTAGATCTACATACAATATATCCAGTTGATGGTTTAGTACTAGATCTACATACAATATATCCAGTTGGTGGTTTAGTACTAGATCTACATACAATATATCCAGTTGGTGGTTTAGTACTAGATCTACATACAATATATCCAGTTGGTGGTTTAGTACTAGATCTACATACAATATATCCAGTTAATGGTTTGTACTAGATCTTTAGTAGTTAGATCTACATACACACAATATATCCAGTTGGTGGTTTAGTACTAGATCTACAATAGATCCAGTTGGTAGATTAGTACTAGATCTACATACAATATACCCAGTAGGTGGTTTAGTACTAGACCTACGTACAATATATCCAGTCGGCGGTTTAGTACTAGATCTACATACAATTTATCCAGTTAATGGTTTAGTACTAGATCTACATACCATATATCCAGATGATGGTTTAGTACTAGATCTACAAACAATACATCCAGTTGATGGTTTAGTACTAGATCTACATACAATATATCCAGTTACTGGTTTAGTTCTAGATCTACATACAATACATCCAGTTGATGGTTTAGTACTAGATCTACACACAATATATCCAGTTGGTGGTTTAGTACTAGATCTACACACAATAGATCCAGTTGGTAGATTAGTACTAGATCTACATACAATATACCCAGTAGGTGGTTTAGCACTAGACCTACGTACAATATATCCAGTCGGCGGTTTAGTACTAGATCTACATACAATTTATCCAGTTAATGGTTGAGTACTAGATCTACATACAATATGTCCAGTTGGTGGTTTAGTACTAGATCTACATACAATACATCCAGTTGATGGTTTAGTACTAGATCTACATACCATATATCCAGATGATGGTTAAGTACGAGATCTACATACAATATATCCAGTTGATGGTTTAGTACTAGATCTACATACCATATATCCAGATGATGGTTTAGTACTAGATCTACATACAATACATCCAGTTGATGGTTTAGTACTAGATCTACATACAATATATCCAGTTACTGGTTTAGTTCTAGATCTACATACAATACATCCAGTTGATGGTTTAGTACTAGATCTACATACAATATATCCAGTTACTGGTTTAGTTCTAGATCTACATACAATATATCCAGTTGGTTTATAATTCCACTGGTTCTGTAGAGATCTGTTACTATACATAACATATTTGATGCAATACATTCAGTTGGCTTTCACAACCGGACCTACACAGTACATTCATGTGATTTGCTTCTATATCAATCAGATACAAGGTTGTTCACTAGTCAGTTTGCCGTATCTTAAAGGAAGCGCTCAAAGATAATAAAGATGGGACATTGCAACCTGTTTATAGTATTGATTTTATCGCCATCCACGTTACTGCACAATGTTCTGACAGTTGTACCTCCATGTTGTTCAGCTTCATCCCCGGCTCGTTGATGGGCCCCTGACTTCAAGTCACTAGACACTGGAGCAGACACAATGTTCAGGCAGTCTCCAGTTTTACCTCCATGTTGTTCAGCTTCATCCCCGGCTTGTTGATAGACCCCTGTCTTCAAGTCACCAGACACTGGAGGAGAGAATATGATACTTAGAATATTAGACTTTATGTAATCTACATTCTAATGAAGAATTGTCACAATCTAAAAGGAGAAGGCCCCGCCCTGTAGATACACCAGCCCCGCCCTGTAGATACACCGGCCCCGCCCTGTAGATACACCAGCCCCGCCCTGTAGATACACCGGCCCCGCCCTGTAGATACACCAGCCCCGCCCTGTAGATACACCAGCCCCGCCCTGTAGATACACCAGCCCCGCCCTGTAGATACACCAGCCCCGCCCTGTAGATACACCAGCCCCGCCCTGTAGATACACCAGCCCCGCCCTGTAGATACACCGGCCCCGCCCTGTAGATACACCGGCCCCGCCCTGTAGATACACCAGCCCCGCCCTGTAGATACACCGGCCCCGCCCTGTAGATACACCAGCCCCGCCCTGTAAATACACCAGCCCTGCCCTGTAGATACACCAACCCCGCCCTGTAGATACATCGGTCTCGTTCAGTATTTCTGCTAGTGCACCAATTTTCTGGTATTGAACAACCAAACATCGTTTACATCACATCATGTTTCATATCAAGCGATCTGAAGGACTTGTCAATGGTTCTGTGTTGCAGGACGGCAACATCAAAGGTCGACCTATGCCTATCTATTTCCACATTATGTGGCATAACTAACTGATCAGATGACATTTGTGTTTCCAAAACAAGCACTGCACAAAAACACGAGATCCGCTATATAAACAAAGGCTTGTGTGTGTATTTGAATTGATACATTCAATATTCTCCATCTCGACACAAACCCACATCTATTTATAGACCCAGTTTTGTGTGACTGAATTCCTTCTCAACGTTCACTTTTTAGACAACAAATGTGCTTCAGAAAAATAGACTCGGCAACCAGGGTGGTAAACATACACATTTGCCGTCAAACTTCCAAATTACCTTATTAATGTCACTGACTCTGAACTAATATGGCTCAATACAAATGAAAAGTAGCCCGTGTTTATGATGACTGCCTCCACATTTTCAGTTTACTTAAACCCTGACTTTACATCTCATACAAGATTCACATTCCCTCAATTCGGCCTCTCCGAAAACCTGGCCTGGTATGACCCAGTGCTAGATATCTGACGTCACAACATGACGTAACTTGACAGATGCAGTTTCGCGGCAGTGGCCAGGGAGCAGCTGTTTGTTCTTTTATATTATTTGTGACTGACGGAAACGTGGCATGCTATATTCGTTGTTGGATTGAACTCAGTATAAAAAATTGACAGTACTCTGAGGACTACAGACATTTTCAATGGCCGTACAATTTTATTAATTTACTGGCTATGGGTATCTGGTTTTAATCAGTATCGTGTATTTATATTTATTGCTTTAGTTATAAAAGGAATTCTAAGATGCTTCGGTGAAAGATCAAAGGCGCCGACAGTACTTTATCAGACGATAATGTGCAATTTTTGCATTACGTCACAGTGTAATGCGATTCTAGTGTGCCCCCTCGTAATCGAATAAATTTGCATTACGTCACAATGTAACCGACGTCACGATGCATGTCAGTTGTCATCGCCTCGTACAGCCTCCTACAGTAAAGTACTCCGTTGCATCCCGTTTCTTGGTTTGCAGTTGCTTCACGCAGCTAACGTCACTGGTGGAAACATTACGTTCATGTTTTCCGGCGTTTAAAATGTTTCAATTCGACTCACAAGTTTTGCAACGACACGGTAACGTTCGCTATGTTTACATTCCAACAATGCAATCGTGGAATGTCGCTCAGCTTCGTCTGGATGTACTGATCTAAACTTACGTTGGTAGTAGAAATGCGACATTCATATGGTTTACGCTAATCACAGATGTAATTAAAATAAATTAGGGAAGATATTTAATCCGAACGTAAACCGTCATGAAACTGTCTGTCATTTGTTTTTCTGGTAGCGTTTGTCTTAACGTAGGGGGGAGACACATCAATAGAACAGCACGCCAGTTAGCCCTGTGCGAGGATTTTTAATTTAGGTCACCGACACCGTCGATTGTTTTCTGCCTTAGATTAATCGTTTTTAAAGTTTTAAATTTGGCATCTTAGAAAAGAAATACAGTTCGCTCTACCACCATGTATAGTGTTATATTTCCCCCTGAGCTATTATGACGTTAAAGCACACGGACGCAGGGAGAAAGTGTGCTTTATTACACTATACATGGTGGTAGAGCGAACTGTATTTCTTAAACAAAACAGTGCGTTGAATAGGAAATCCACGTGATAGTTTATGATTATACAGTGTAAAGTTGGTCGCGTGATTGGATAAAGTACTAATTGAAATGTGTTTAAAGCGAAAGTATTCAAATGTACAGTAAGTTCAAATCTTAAACAAATATCAAACTGTACATATGTCAACGTTTGCCAGTCAATTTCTGAACTTTTGCCAGTCGATTAAAGTTACTATCTGCAAAATATTTAATTACCTTAGTAGTGATAAAAAAAAGTGAAAAGATCTCTCGGCATTTTCCTGTAATGTCATCGATATCATATAACAGTCAAGGCAGTTCCCAAGACTGAATTCGAAAGTGTAACTCAGCAGTACGTCACAATGAGCAGTTCAGTCGGGTAGCAGTACTGTGTGGCCCAACAATAGGCATTCAATCGGGTAGCAGTACTGTGTTGCCCAACAATAGGCATTCAGTCGGGTAGCAGTACTGTGTGGCCTAACAATGGGCATTCAATCGGGTAGCAGTACTGTGTGGCCCAACAATAGGCATTCAATCGGGCAGAAGTACTGTGTGGCCAAACAATGGGCATTCAATCGGGTAGCAGTACTGTGTGGCCAAACAATGGGCATTCAATCGGGTAGCAGTACTGTGTGGCCAAACAATGGGCATTCAATCGGGTAACAGTACTGTTTGGCCCAACAATGGGCATTCAATCGGGTAATAGTACTGTGTGGCCCAACAATAGGCATTCAGTCGGGTAGCAGTACTGTGTGGCCTAACAATGGGCATTCAATCGGGTAGCAGTACTGTGTGGCCCAACAATGGGCATTCAATCGGGTAGCAGTACTGTGTGGCCAAACAATGGGCATTCAATCGGTTAACAGTACTGTTTGGCCCAGCAATAGGCATTCAATCGGGTAACAGTACTGTTTGGCCCAACAATGGGCATTCAATCGGGTAACAGCACTGTCTGGCCATACATTGGGCATCCAATCGGGTAACAGTACTGTTTGGCCCAACAATATGCATTCAATCGGGTAGCAGTACTGTGTTGCCCAACAATGGGCATTCAATCGGGTAGCAGTACTGTGTGGCCCAACAATAGGCATTCAGTCGGGTAGCAGTACTGTGTGTGCCAACAACAGGCTTTCAATCGGGTAACAGTACTGTGTGCCAAAGCAATTGGCAATTCAATCGGGTACCAGTACTGTGTGCTCAAGCAATGGGCAATTCAATCGGGTAACAGTACTGTGTGCCCAAGCAATGGGCAATTCAATCGGGTAGCAGTACTGTGTGCCCAAGCAATGGGCAATTCAATCGGGTAACAGTACTGTGTGCCCAAGCAATGGGCAATTCAATCGGGTAGCAGTACTGTGTGCTCAAGCAATGGGCAATTCAATCGGGTAACAGTACTGTGTGCCAAAGCAATGGGCAATTCAATCGGGTAGCAGTACTGTGTGCCCAAGCAATGGGCAATTCAATCGGGTAACAGTACTGTGTGCCCAAGCAATGGGCAATTCAGCCGGGTAGCAGTACTGTGTGCCCAAGCAATGGGCAATTCAATCGGGTAGCAGTACTGTTTGGCCCAACAATGGGCATTCAATCGGGTAACAGCACTGTCTGGCCATACATTGGGCATCCAATCGGGTAGCAGTACTGTCTGGCCCAACAATATGCATTCAATCGGGTAGCAGTACTGAGTGGCCTAACAATGAACATTTCAATATGCGTGGCCCAACACTGGCTGGGTGAGAAAGGACGGTATCGGTTGTCGCATTGTTATTTTCAGGTTCAGATATATAGTCTGAATGTCAACGGGGAACTAACTGCGATTTAGGAAGTTATTGTATTGTTTAGAACAAATTAAAATCTACATTCGTGATCAACTCACGTTTTCCCGGGACCAGCCGAATATCAGCTCGTGCCCCACTGGAAGGATTTCATATTGGCGTATGAACAGAATAGATCTACTTTAAACAAGAATGACAACTCTATTTCTGTTTAATTCAAACACAAATACACATTACTTGAGCTCTGAAAAGTTGCTGATTTTAAAATGTTTTAACCTGATTTGAACATGTTAAAACATGTTTCAATAAGTACAAAAAGAGACACAAAAATGGCTTTGAAACATATCTCAATCTGAAGAATTCGTGGAGAGTCCTATCATGATTTAGTGTTAGCGGTGTCTACCAGTTGTCTCAAATTGCACGCGTAACCTGCCTGCCATCCTTCCACGCGTTTTGATTGGTTTGTCGGATTTTCGCGCATGACTTTAATCGTTGGGGGGAGGAGTCTTCCTGGAGGTTACGGAAAGGGGAGAGTGGTGTTGATTCTCCCGTAATGACACGAGTGGGTCACGAATGCACATCCACTGTTGTCTCTTGAATAGAGTTGTGTCACTTTGTGTTGAGTATTCCATAGGTGGAGAAAGCAGCAGTTTACAACAGCGGAAGTGACACGAAAGGGCATATACTATTGAAATCCCTTTAAAATAAACTGTTCACATGAACTACATATGATTGTGGCTGACATATGGTAATGCATATTGAATCCTGTGGATTGTACGTGAAGAGTCACCAGGTGTTTGTGTTACTGATTGATCGATCGATTTATCGACTGATTGATTGACTGATTGCAGACTTTCTTCTGTTCTGTTGTCCTTGGTATTTCTGTTACAAGGTGTGTTACCGTGTTTGCAATCTTTAGCTGCATGACGTGTGGGCACTGGCTTCACATGTGCTGTTCAATGTGCCCAAGGGTGTTGGTGTGGGCACTGGCTGCACATGTGCTGTTCAATGTGCCCAAGGATGATGGTGTGGGCACTGGCTGCACATGTACTGTTCAGTGTGCCCAAGGGTGATGGTGTGGGGCACTGGCTGCATGGTACTTGATTGTCCCCTCAGCAACAAACAAGAAGTTGGGGCATTTTCTCCCGTACGGAGTTATCTCCCTTATCCCCTTACAAAGCCTATGTGGCTACCTAAACTACAGTATTAAAGCAAGTGAACATGATACTGGGTAAACGTTAAATTCAACAGAAGAATAATGTTATAGAGATCAAACCTTTCTTGTCTTGTTCTCTTCCGTTTTCGCTCTTGGTGGTTTTCTCTTGCACTGCATCCTGATGTTCCTGTACCTGTAATGATGCAAGTTTATTTTACCCCACTAGATGAAGTATGATTTGTGGTTTGAGCCGTACTCACGATCGAAACAAATTGAGTATAAAGAGAAGAAATTACTTCAAGAGTTGAGTATGTGATACATATTTACTCGACAGCTTGAGAACGTAAAGGAGACTTTTCCTGTCATGTCGAGTACACAGAAGAATATTTACCTGAACAGGTAGAGTATACAGAAGAATATTTACCTGAACAGGTAGAGTATACAGAAGAATATTTACCTGAACAGGTAGAGTATACAGAAGAATATTTACCTGAACAGGTAGAGTATACAGAAGAATATTTACCTGAACAGGTAGAGTATACAGAAGAATATTTACCTGTACAGGTAGAGTATACAGAGGAGTATTTACCCCTCTTGTTGAGCATACAGAGGAGTATTTACCTGGCAGGTTTCGTATACAGAGGGATATTTACCTGAAGAGGTTGAATATACAGAGGAATATTTACCTAAACAGGTAGACTATACAGAGGAGTATTTACCTGAACAGGTTGAGTATACAGAGGAATATTTACCTGTCATGTTGAGCATACAAAGGAGTATTTACCTGGCAGGTTTGTATACAGTTGGATATTTACCTGAAGAGGTTGAGTTACAGAGGAATATTTACCTGAACAGGTAGACTATACAGAGGAGTATTTACCTGAACAGGTTGAGTTACAGAGGAATATTTACCTGAACAGGTAGAGTATACAGAGGAGTATTTACCTGAACAGGTGGAGTATATAGAGGAGTATTTACCTGAACAGGTTGAATATACTGAGGAATATTTACGTAAACAGGTAGACTATACAGAGGACTATTTACCTGAACAGGTTGAGTTTAGAGAGGACTATTCACCTGAACAGGTTGACTATACAGAGGAATATTTACCTGAACAGGTTGAGTATACAGAGGAGAATTTACCTGAACAGGTAGACTATACAGAGGAGTATTTACCTGAACAGGTAGACTATAATATATAATATATCCCTGACATAAAAGGAGTATGCTCAGACACAAGGATGCAGGAATACATATGCTATTTACCTTGCTCTCTGTTGCTGCTGTCCTTGCATCTAAAACCAGAAATAAAGTGTTTTCATGTTATATTCAGCGTTTAACTGACATCATATTTTGTCGATGTAAATAAAAGTGTTGTTTAAAATGAAAAATATGATTGATTGATGGTGTACCTGTTTAATAATTGCACTGATGATTTGCAAACATGCATGTGTTTATCTAAAGAAATCTCCACAGTAAGACCTATCTACATCTGACTACTTGAAATATGTACTGCCTCACTTATAACGTGGAGTTTGTACGTATAAGAAATACCTTTAAGTTGATGTTCCAGCTTGATTTGGTTAGCGTCCTTTTCCTCGATTACCTTACGTAGTTTTTGTATCTGTAATCAATAAAATTGATGGTGTTTTGGGATTATGCCAATGAAACAGACAAACTGAATTATTTCTCATTTACAGTCATGTCCCCTAAACAATATCCATACCGTGAGACCTTTTTTAATTCGGACGAGTGTGTATCCACAATTCACAAAGAGAGAAAATGTATGAACGAAGTACATTCACTATTTCCATCAGAGCTTTAGAATGTTGTCGCATAATGAAAGGTATACTGTCCACATGCAATCAGCTTGTAAGATTCTAATGCATCAGTCAATGACCTCTTGCTGAAGTGTTTATCTACGAACAGTTCTAATAAACTACCACGTTTCAACCTATTGTGAATTCACAATTTCGTTGTACAAAATTTCAACTGCAAACTTTGATCGTTAAGATTTCCGAAACCACTCATTTAAGTCAATCATGCTGGAAGAGATGATACTAAGTTCATATGATGTATAATGAGCTAACTAGGCCTTGACACGTCTTCAAGCGACATGGGGGTAATGACTGATTTATGATGGAAATATCTACTGTCACCTGGTTAATATGTGCTGATGGGAGTGAGTCTTTCACCATTAATATGGTGAGGTATATGGAGTAGTACTTGCCTGTTTCTGTAATTCTATATTTTTTCTCAGTTCATCTGAAAATAATGAGAGTGTATTATTTTTTTTTTAGAGGACATCATTTGTAATATACTTCTAGATACAGCTGCAAGAGTTACATAACAAGCTCATGTCAATGAGAATAATTTGATGGTTGTAGGCATTTAAACCAAGTAGATAACCACAAAACATTTGTAATTACATATGTATATTCGCCTGATATAACTTTACGTGTTTTATTGTATTATGCATACCTTCACATCGGCGCTTTTGTTTTGCCTGTTCGACTTCAATTTTCTGCATCTGTAATAACATTAGCATTATATATTTGACATTCATTCATCTAGTTATGAGAAGGCATCCACACCTTAGCTGTGCTAAATGTACAAACATGTGCTCATAATTAGACATATACTTTATACTTTTTGACTTCGTATCAGTCATCAGCAGGGAGTCTATTGTTTTATATATATATACATATATTAACGTGTTTTGTTATGGCGCAGCAGGGGATCGATCCCCATAGGAAAAGAAGATAATGATACCGTAACGTCGCAGTATAGGACCTTTCCCTAGTATTTGTTTATAGGGAGGAGGGAGGAGAAACAATCTGTGTTGTTGTATACTTAAGACGAGAAAATCAGTTCCCAATTACATATATTCATATACAGTTATTCTATATTCTATACTTCAAATTGCATCAATTAGGAGCGCGTATGCAATAAAAACTACAATGGTTTCGCTAGAGGGAATTTTCAAAATGATGGTCGAAAAGTCGATACAAAAGCATTTGATCGTTCAATGCTCTTCAAAATATAATATATGAAAACCTGCCTTTTCAGCGAGTGCTTTCTGATCATTCTTCCGATCTGAAAAAGACATAATTTCTGGTTGTATTTAAATGGATTCTGAATCTGTGTCTCTGTGATATTCCTCCATTTAAAAACAGTTAACATGAAGAATACACTAAAATTATACATTGGACTTTCATCACCTGTGTGACATAAACCAGCTGTTCGGCCAGCTACATCATTATCAGTAACTTATTATGTGGGGTTGTTTTTCTCAGTTAGTTGTGGCGAATAATCCCGATATTAAAAAACAAGCAGCTTTGACTAATTAGTTCACTCAATTACTTTAAGGACTTCCCAAATTCAATGAAATGAACAAACCTGAAAGGTCATTTCCCAACTGAAGAACCTGTAAACAGAAAACGTGTCAAAAAGAATCAAACCTCTTAATGTTCTTTTGAAACATAGTGTAATGTACGATCTGAGTGGGCTATATCTGCTCCATCTACTGACGAAAGTCAACATACATTCGAGAGAACTATCTGCTCTAACCCAATACAGACTTCAGGCAACCTGCTTCATAATTCTGAACTCGCCTTCAACGGAGTTAATGTTCATAAGATGCTTAACTGTCATTTCAATTTATTGTTGAAACTGTTTATCTAAACATGCAGAGGCCTTTTAGAAATGAACCACTCAAAATAACATAGCATTAAAATTTATTGTGATATGTTAAACATTCTTCATAAAGCTATTGCAAAGGAAGACATACTTCCTCGGACATGCACCCACATTTCATGTATGACAGTTGTTATAATATAGACTATTACCCAAACGGGATTAGATGCTCAAATAATAAGCCACTAACCCCATACTACGCTGAAACATTGTACAGCCAACATTTCCACGATAGCGGTTGAAACATGCTAAGTCTGGAAAGAATCTGTTTATAAATTCCCCCCTCAAAACGCATTTGATATAGCTGGGACTGGTCTTAACCCCAGGACACAAGAAGCACCCTCTCTTTTCCGTTCTTCTTGTCTTTGAAGTTGTTATAGCAGCGCTTGGACACCCCTTGCATTTAATCATCAGTACAAAATGGTTGAATACTTTCAAATACAAGTCTCAGTTAGAGCTGTAACACCATTGACATGGTTGAAACCGAAGTAAAAACTATTTGACCCTTTCAATACAAGAGCATCGTCCTTTTTAGTGAAAAGAGATATAAAGCCGATAAAAGAGCCTTGCAAACACATCTGCTGTAAACACCTGCACCTAAATACGATACAGTGTATTTGGTTGAACTATTTGTTCTATCGTTATTTGATAAAAGTGTTGGAGGGAGCTAGCACATTATGTCAGTGTTGTAACGTCATTCATCTGAGCAGCAGGACCTGACTTTCCAGCACTACTTTGTGTTACAGTAACCTGCCACGTGTAAATGTTTAGGAAATCAGGTGAAATAGTCTTACCAATCTGTACAGTTCCGCAATGCTCTCCCTTTCAGCTAGAAAACAGAAGAAAAAGTTATACCTTGATATTAGCCAATACAATGAGAAAAAAAGTGTTTGTATATAGTACGTGAAACAACCTAGAAATATTTCATGTGCGGTTACTATCTTATTCATCTATTTACATAACTCTAGTTTCCATGTGACATTATTGGTGCGTAACTGACTTGAAGAACTTGAAAATGTTCGTACCTTTTACATCAGTGCCATATTTTGTGAGATTCTGGATCAGATCCCGCACCTACAATTAATACAAAAAAATACCCTGAAGTCAATTGTCTCTGAATTCGTAGATTCTGTGAAAACATGTATGGAACATACAAAATACTCTATATTTTGTCAAATTGGTCAGATGCTAGTGAAGGATCGGTCTCATTAGAATAAGATATCACATGTGCTTGCCGGATATTCTTCCCTCACTCTACACGCCGTGGAGGTTAGAATCCTAGACAATAATTGGTTACATTGAAAGGTTCCCTGACTCGAACTGTTATCACATGTGTCCTCAGATCTCTAATAGAAATGTCATTTTCAGTACACCTCAACATGAACCTTACTGTATTGCTATCTATCTTCTGTTATGTTAAGGTACATTATGTTTAGCCCTGTGAAAGTCCGGTTTAGAAAATTGATCTTCGGTAACCCATGCTTGTCGTAACTAACGGGGTCGGGTGGTCGGGTGGTCAGGCTCGCTGACTTGGTTGACACATGTCATCGGTTCCCAATTGCGTAGATCGATGTTTATGCTGTTGGTCACTGGATTGTCTGGTCCAGACTCGATTATTTACAGACAGCCATCATATAGCTGGACTATTGCCACACTATGTTTAGGTAGCCTTCTTGAGTGACTTCACAATACATACATATAACGTAAGGTACCTGTTTTTCCAGGGCCGGGATGGCATTCGATGTATCTGTAGATTGAAATGAAAGACATAAGACATCCTTGATACTTGAGTATGGTCCTTGTCTTCGTTGGCCAAAAATATTGCCATCTGTATAGCCAAGGACTCAAGTTTGGGTCTATATCTATGTCAAAATGAGTTCCAAATGTTGCAGGTTGAAACCATGGTGATATCTATGATGTGTAATAATATTGTGTGTACTAATATTCCTTGATGTGTTTGACAGTTGCTTACCTGCTTCTGGTTGCTCACATTCCTACGAGCAATCATTGAGTGCATTCATTAAATGTTTGTTTGTTTTTTTTTGGGTTTTTTTTGTTTTTTTTAATAATCCCGTTTAATGATGAACATTGCTAGAATAGCTGCCACTGAGCATCCCGTGAAATGTTGGGATAACTAATGACTGCTAACCGATTATACTTGGCCCGGCACCATTTAGCATTCATCGTGTCCACTAGTTATTCAACCTACCTTCAACAGTATCTTTGAGCACTTCAAGTCTTATTTCAGCTTCTTCAATCTGCAAATGTGACACAACCTCTCAGTGCAATCACAGATGTACTTTATCATATCATTACGGGTTGATTCACCTGTGGAAACTAATACAGAAGTTAACCAGGACTCAGTCCGTAAACAAACAACAAAGCAATGTCATAATATTAACAATTCCTCCCTGGATATGTTGTTTGCAATGCTATATTGTATACGTATGTGTTAATACAAACATAAGTCACACAAAATAGCAAGATATAAGAATTAATGTTTTACTCTTTATGTTAAGAAATATTTGTTAGAATCTATTAATTACCTGTTTCTTTAGTTCCGGTATAACGTTTTCCTCCAACTCTGTATAAACAAACAAGTACTGCTGTCAGTTTTCAAATAATTTTAGTGATTACGTAAAAGTTTAACTTCAACTATTTCACAGCATTCAAAAATAATTTTTAAAAAGGGTGCACTTGCAAAATCATTATTCCATTTTTTCTTTTTTAAACTGGGATACACAATTGACAAATTATCTTGTAGTTTGCTACTCACTTGCTATTTCGTCTTTCTTGAGTTCAATATCTTCCATTAGCTTACGTATCTGGAACATATCTTACATATTTAGCAACATAGGATTGTGTGATTGGATGGGTTGGTTGACTTTAATGTCACCCCCAGTCTACTTAGTGTGTGATTGGATGGGTGGGTTGACTTAAATGTCATCTTCAGTCTATTTAGTGTGTGATTGGATGGGTGGGTTGACTTTAATGTCACCTTCAGTCTATTTAGTGTGTGATTGGATGGGTGGGTTGACTTTAATGTCACCTTCAGTCTATTTAGTGTGTGATTGGATTGGTGGGTTGACTTTAATGTCACCTTCAGTCTATTTAGTGTGTGATTGGATTGGTGGGTTGACTTAAATGTCACCTTCAGTCTACTTAGTGTGTGATTGGATTGGTGGGTTGACTTTAGTGTCATCTTTAGTCTATTTAGTGTGTGATTGGATGGGTGGGTTGACTTTAATGTCACCTTCAGTCTATTTAGAGTGTGATTGGATGGGTGGGTTGACTTAAATGTCACCTTCAGTCTATTTAGTGTGTGGTTGGATTGGTGGGTTGACTTTAATGTCATCTTTAGTCTATTTAGTGTGTGATTGGATGGGCGGGTTGACTTTAATGTCACCTTCAGTCTATTTAGTGTGTGATTGGATAGGTGGGTTGACTTAAATGTCACCTTCAGTCTATTTAGTGTGTGATTGGATGGGTGGGTTGACTTTAATGTCACCTTCAGTCTATTTAGTGTGTGATTGGATTGGTGGGTTGACTTTAATGTCATCTTTAGTCTATTTAGTGTGTGATTGGATGGGTTGACTTTAACGTCATCTTCAGTCTATTTAGTGTGTGATTGGATGGGTTGGTTGACTTAAATGTCACCGTCAGTCTATTTAGGGTGTGATGGGATGGGTTGGTTGACTTTAATGTCATCTTTAGTCTGTTTAGTGAGCGTTGACTTTAATGTCACCTTCAGTCTGTTTAGTGAGCGTTGACTTTAATGTCACCTTCAGTCTATTTAGTGTGTGATTGGATGGGTTGGTTGACTTAAATGTCACCTTCAGTCTACTTAGTGTGTGATGGGATGGTTGGGTTGACTTTAATGTCACCTTCAGTCTATTTAGTGTGTGATTGGATGGGTGGGTTGACTTTAATGTCATCTTCAGTCTGTTTAGTGAGCGTTGACTTTAATGTCACCTTCAGTCTGTTTAGTGTGTGATTGGATGTGTTGGTTGACTTTAATGTCACCTTCAGTCTATTTAGGATGTGATGGGATGGGTGGGTTGACTTTAATGTCATCTTTAGTCTGTTTAGTGAGCGTTGGCTTTAATGTCACCTTCAGTCTGTTTACTGAGCGTTGACTTTAATGTCACCTTCAGTCTATTTAGTGTGTGATTGGATTGGTGGGTTGACTTTAATGTCATCTTTAGTCTATTTAGTGTGTGATTGGATGGGCGGGTTGACTTTAATGTCACCTTCAGTCTATTTAGTGTGTGATTGGATAGGTGGGTTGACTTAAATGTCACCTTCAGTCTATTTAGTGTGTGATTGGATGGGTGGGTTGACTTTAATGTCACCTTCAGTCTATTTAGTGTGTGATTGGATTGGTGGGTTGACTTTAATGTCATCTTTAGTCTATTTAGTGTGTGATTGGATGGGTTGACTTTAACGTCATCTTCAGTCTATTTAGTGTGTGATTGGATGGGTTGGTTGACTTAAATGTCACCGTCAGTCTATTTAGGGTGTGATGGGATGGGTTGGTTGACTTTAATGTCATCTTTAGTCTGTTTAGTGAGCGTTGACTTTAATGTCACCTTCAGTCTGTTTAGTGAGCGTTGACTTTAATGTCACCTTCAGTCTATTTAGTGTGTGATTGGATTGGTGGGTTGACTTTAATGTCATCTTTAGTCTATTTAGTGTGTGATTGGATGGGCGGGTTGACTTTAATGTCACCTTCAGTCTATTTAGTGTGTGATTGGATAGGTGGGTTGACTTAAATGTCACCTTCAGTCTATTTAGTGTGTGATTGGATGGGTGGGTTGACTTTAATGTCACCTTCAGTCTATTTAGTGTGTGATTGGATGGGTGGGTTGACTTTAATGTCATCTTCAGTCTATTTAGTGTGTGATTGGATGGGTTGACTTTGTGTCATCTTCAGTCTATTTAGTGTGTGATTGGATGGGTTGGTTGACTTAAATGTCACCTTCAGTCTATTTAGTGTGTGATTGGATGGGTTGGTTGACTTTAATGTCATCTTTAGTCTGTTTAGTGAGCGTTGTTAATGTCACCTTCAGTCTGTTTAGTGAGCGTTGACTTTAATGTCACCTTCAGTCTATTTAGTGTGTGATTGGATGGGTTGGTTGACTTAAATGTCACCTTCAGTCTACTTAGTGTGTCATGGGATGGGTGGGTTGACTTTAATGTCACCTTCAGTCTATTTAGTGTGTGATTGGATGGGTGGGTTGACTTTAATGTCATCTTCAGTCTGTTTAGTGAGCGTTGACTTTAATGTCACCTTCAGTCTGTTTAGTGTGTGATTGGATGTGTTGGTTGACTTTAATGTCACCTTCAGTCTATTTAGGATGTGATGGGATGGGTGGGTTGACTTTAATGTCATCTTTAGTCTGTTTAGTGAGCGTTGACTTTAATGTCACCTTCAGTCTGTTTACTGAGCGTTGACTTTAATGTCACCTTCAGTCTATTTAGTGTGTGATTGGATGGGTGGGTTGACTTTAATGTCATCTTTAGTCTGATTAGTGAGCGTTGACTTTAATGTCACCTTCAGTCTGTTTTGTGTATGATTGGATTGATGGGTTGACTTTAATGTCATCTTCAGTTTGTTTAGTGAGCGTTGACGTAAATGACACCTTCAGTCTTTTAAGTAAGTGGGTGAGAGGATCGGTGGATAAATTTGGTTTATTGCCAACTTCAGTCTACTTGGATATCAACATTACAGTTATATGTTTAAAAGCTCAATGAGGTTTCAGCATCAACAGGTGCTTTTCTTCCTTCCTGGCTGTCTTATATTTTATGTCGTGTGTCAGACTAATCAAGACACCATTCATTGATACCCCCAACAATCAGAAGCATCCACTTGTGCCACATTCTAACCCATCAAGCTGGGTTTACTTCTGATAGACTTCCAATTCTGGTGCCCGGGTCTGCAAAGACTATGAGGCTATGCCGGATTTAGCTTCTCTTACAGATAGAAGGTAAAGGCTAAATTATTGCTTGTTATCAAGGACGTTGGAAGAGCTGTCTTTGGGGTTTTGAATACAGAGGCATACTGAGTAGCCTAAGGGATTTCTCTCAGCCCTTCCCATATATGATACAGCAGAAAGACAGCAGTGTGTTTGTAATGTGCTATCTTTCTGGAACAGGAACCAGCCAAGGTTGACGAGACCCTTTGTCTAGGGATCTGACTTGGTAGTAAAAGACGGCCCTTGTCCAAACATGCCACCCTAGCCTTAAAGGTCATGGTCAGATTACAGTTATATACAACCCCAATATTGAGAAACAAACCGGCAGCAAGTAAAGGAACTTGAGGCATGTGTATATATTCCTATATATTATATCATTTGGTTATTTTCCATCAGCAAGGTGGTTTCAGGAAAATGAAATTGAAGGCCTTCAGTAAATATATATTCAGCTTGAACGAAGAGGTTTATTAGTGATATTTATTAGTGTTTATTAGTGATGGTCTGAACCATGATGTCTGCATGTCAACAACACAAAAGTAAGTGTGTATACTTTCACACAGTTGGGTGGGAGGGGGTAGAATGTCCTGGCATGTTACTGTTTTGAGGACTGGCTCTGTAAATCTGCCCGGCTCTGCTTAAGACAACTTTGTTTATTCTTTATACATTGTATATGCATCTGTTAGAATTGTATTTACCTTCTTCTCGATGTTTTGTATGTCCTCACGTTTATCTGAAAATGCAACCGATCTGTCAGTCATTTCCTCTCTAGGCAATATTTCAATACAGACACTTTATATTGCAACATTTAAGTTCTGATAAGAAGTCTGAATACCATATGTTTGTTGTTGGAACGTTTCCACTTCCTCTTTCAGTTTCTCAATCTGAAATTCAAAACATAAATAAATATGTATATATTTGACAATACACCATGGATACTTTCAACAACATTCAGTTTTCTCCAAGTAGAAAACACATTATCAGTGGAGCAATTGACTTGTGAGACTGTATCAAACACGTATGTTGATCTTGAAAGTCTTTATTATGTTTGAACATCATATTTATCAAATTGTAAAAGAAGTATAATGCTGAGGCAAGTTTGTCATTTCAGCCTTCTTGTTTTATGTTTTGCTGTGTAGCTACTCACATCTACTGGTAACCTTATCGCTAGGATAGCATTAGAGCACTGTATTCCTCAATGCCCGACATCCGCTGACCTATTGGTCATGAGAAATGCGGTATCTATGGAATACTGTAAGGGACATTCTCGCGATCTCGCATTCTCGCGATCTCGACATTTGGAAACAAGCTGGAGATCGCCAGATCGCGAGAAAATCAAATGTCACATTCTCGCGTTCTCGCGACTTCCTGTTTTTGTGGCCTTATTTGACAAGCTGAGATTGCGAGATTGCGAGATTTGACAGCATGTACAAATGTTGTATTCTTGTCGATTTTTGACAAAAAGTGCTATGTACCAAAAACACGAGAATGCGAGATCGCGAGAACGAGAGATTTGGCCAAAATCTCGCGTTCTCGCGATCTCGCTTTCTCGCACTTTTGGCATTTTTAGCTTGTTTCCAAAGGTCGAGATCGCGAGAATGTCCCTTACAGTATTCCATAGGTATCTCTTGTTCTTACAAGCGTACTGTGTCAGGTGGGAGCCAGTGTGGTATAATGACTATATACACAAAGAACTAAATTAAGCACCCCCTGATATATCTCCCGATTGAATGAGCCCCGATCTTAACCCTTTGGAGCATATCTGGGACATGATTGGTCGTCGTTTGCAACAAAGGGATCCTCCTGTACATAATCTGCTGCTTTATACGAGGAATGACGTAGACTGGCCCTTCAGAGAGTTAAGAGGCTGACAAGGGTTATGAGGAGGGGAGTGCAAGCTGTCAAACAGTCACATCGAGGTTAAACTCGGTATTGTCCTTGAATCGTGTAAGACAATCCAAATAACATTTTGAATGTTCACATTCACCAATAAATTCAACATTAAACATTCGTGGGCCAGACGTGGTTTTGTATGAAAAATCAGAGTTTTTTGGTTATTCTATTTAAATCCGCAATTATCATCATAAAATCAATATGAATTCCAATCATTTTGTCGTTTTTTATGAGTCAAAAGATCATACGGGTCAGAAAACTCTGATACCACGACAAGTTTTATGTACGTGTTGAAAACTTGTCACTGCAAAAATACAGTGGATGCTTAATTAAGTTATTTGTATATGTTTTCATAGATCTATGTTCAAAAATATATATTTAAGACTTGAAATGTGCTCGTTGACGGCGACACTGAATCTAAACAGAAAATCAAGCATATTTCGTAGTCAGAAACTGTCTAAGTTTTCGCATTTGTGTTTACTATACACCAGGGAAAGAAATGTTCAAAAACAGGCATTAGCTAATAAGAATGAACATTAATGTCATTATAAAAGTTTGAATCACTAACATATTTCTTTCCTTTTTGAAAGAATACGGACGTGTCAGAAACTGTCTAATTTTTCGCATTTGTGTTTACTATACACCAGGGAAAGAAATGTACAAAAACAGGCATTAGACAATAAGAATGAACATTAATGTCATTATAAAATATTGAATCACTAAACTATTTCTTTCCTTTTTGAAGAATGCGGACGTATGTGTGTGTGATACAATGAGTGCGTCCCAGAGCTCTTTTACGTGTAATATAACATATAATTTGATGGGAACTACTCACCTTCAACTCCAGATTTTGAACATCATCTCTTCTCTCTGTTGATAAGAAAATCATTTTTAAATGGGTTAAATTTCTCGAATGATTTGTATATGCTATTAATGTTTTATAATATAACATATGCATCACTTAACGTATGCTTCACTTATCTTAAAGCTTGTTTATACGATACTTTCGTACTTGTGATGCTGGTATGGATAACAGCCCTACATCGACATACAGCTCCCGACATTGTACTTTCATGATCGTCTCCATCACTGCAGCTCTGCTTCTTCTTGTTACATTTCCCCCAGTCTGCCATGCCCCAAAACTTACACGTGGGTGAACAGTTGGCCAATAACTTGTGGAGTTGGAATAGTTTCTGTATTTGTTTAAATAGACATTTCTTGTGGTCCCAAAGGCAGTTTTATCCCACCACAGATTTCAGGCAGTCATCCCATTTCGGTGTATTTACGCAACATGTGGTTATGCTTTGATGGACACCTACCTCGTTTTTGACGCTCCTTTACCGACAGTTGTCCGCGCAAATCCCCGGAGCTAAAAAACAAAACCATTTGTGATTATTTCAGATCATTGCAATAGATTTATATTTTTCTAGACCCTCTCCCAACTCTCTTTGACACGTCTCGGAAATTCATCCCGCGGATGGAGGGCTTGTCTCTCGAAGTGACTTTGAGATAAATGAGCTATACGTAAATAATTCCGAAACGTTCCACACGCTGCAGCAAAGGAGTATTCAACTGTGAACCTAAAAGTGCTCCACATGCGAGCTTTGCATGGCTTAGTGCATTTAGCAAATGACGCCCATAGAGTCATTGTGTGAAAGTGTTTCAGTAGATATTCAGTCGGGGGCAGCCATGTTCAATGTTTAGACTTGATCTATATTCACATATTTGAGTATTATATATATAATAACTTTGATGTTTAACAGTAATGTGATTATCGTAATTACTCATAAGAATGTATATATTTAACCATGATGATTATGTTGTATCTTCTATTTAGTAATGCTATATTCTCGAACTCACTGTGTGGGTTTACATATCGGTATCACCCATGTATGTATGTAGATATATTCATAACGAAATGAATGCATTCACGCGTATAGTTCCATACAGGTCTGAAATTAGAAATAGAACCGACAACGCCTCAATATATTGCCCCATAAAGTGTCCTCGTGGATATTTTATCGGTTTCACAACTGAATGAGTGTGTTGTGTGGGGCAGGGTGACCTCGACTTCTTCGGGCACTTTTGTGATCTTTGTTTGCGATTCAGCCCTATGGGGTCGACAATGTGCAGTCTGACAGATATCTCTAATGTTCATGGAAAAAGTTATTTGTCGGTTTTGTGAAGTGCTTAACATTAATGCTAGTATTATTATGATTATAATCAATTGACATCAAATTCCTTTAATTGTTTCATTGCCTCATTGCCTTGGCGTAACTATGTCCATCCAACCATTAGCAAAATTCTTTTTTAGACTTTAATTAACAGTAAAGTCACGCGACATGTTAAGTGTGCACTATACCTTGCTCTTACTCATTGGATTACACTTCCTAATCGAGAGTGGCGATCCATTTCATAACAGTACAGCCTCATGAATACAACAAGTACCCCAGATTTTATGCAGCTAGCTTTCAGTCGGGTAGTCTCTAAGTCTGTGAAAATGAATGAAAACCGCTGTCGTTTCTTGGTTTCCAAATGCAAAACGCACGACAACTACTCATTATTTAATTCACTGACATCATGACAAATAGTACCCTGGCACACCAACCATACAATACCGTGATAATGTAAAACAAACGCACACCTGTGTACCACCAGTGAGTCTTTCAAATGGTTTCTTCTTTAATGTTAGGTATCGACAGTTCACATTAAGCCTTCCGTCCATGGTCAGCGTTTCAGGTCGCCTAAACTAGTGGTAACATCATGAGGTTCAACCAAATAGGCTTTGGTCTTCTTTTCAAGCAGATGTCTTGGAAGGACAGGCTTATGGTCATATCAACTTATAGTCAAATCAGAAAAGTCAAAGAGAGCCTGGCGCCTTGTAATGATAATACTTCCATTACTTAAAGCTCAAACCTAACCATAAACTGTATGGGTTGATGGTACTTGTCCTGAAAGGGAGACACTGTATGGGTCGATGGTACTTGTCCTAAAGGGGAGACACTGTATGGGTTGATGGACCGTTTCTCTGTCTTGACTGAGGGAAACTATTTCTGGGTGTCTTATCACCCAGACCACACTCAACTCAACACTTGTTTCTAAGAGGTGTGAACGATGTGTGTGCAGCAGAAAATGCAGGGGAGACATTCCTGAACAAGCACCAAGCAGCCCTTGAGGAAGTTGAGGAATGGACGCCATATGCCCTTGGGCAATAATATGTTGTACATCAAACTATTGGACAAACTGCAGGTGAAATTCTGGGCTCACCTGCCCAGCTATGATCACCGGCAAGCAACCTGCACGCTACCTTTGTTCTCCAAAGATCCCGAGGTCACAGATATGATGCCAAGTACCGTTCCTCGAAAAGGAATACCTCCCAAGCACACACTGCAACTTCTGTTGTCCAAAGAGGAAACAGAAGCAACAGAAGAAGGTGGCACCCACCAAGACACCGACCAAGAGTCTCAAATAAAGCATTTAAGAATCAGTTAGAGATTGATGAACTTGGTGAAAGGATGTTTGGACATCCAAAGTTGTTAGACTTTGCTGATTTGTGGGAGAGCAATCAAGCCAAAATCCCAAGAGTCTCCAACCATCCAGGACTTCCAAGAAACAGATGGAGACTGCTGATTTGTGGGTATCAACAAGCCAACTGTGCTATTGAAGGAGCTGAAACTAACCCTGACCAAGGGGTCAGTCCTGTTGAAGAGATACTCTATGAAGTCATACCTCAACAACAGAGGCCTGAAGTACTGATGTCTGAGGGAGAGACGATGCCTCTGTCTGCTGTGCCAGAGATGCCTTTATCTTTATATAGAAACAGAAAAGGAGTAGAGGGTTCCACGGATGACTTTACAGATGGCTCCCTATGCCTGCAGTGTGGCTCCCTATGACTCCAAGTGGCTCCCTATGACTCCTGAGATTGCCCCAGAGACGGATTCTGAGGCGATCGTCAACATACCCATGTTTTATGATGAAAGTCACTCATCAGGGACATATGGACTTTCTGCATTGCACAAGTAATCTAAATGATCACCTGAACTTGTGAAGTTCATACTTGGTTTAGACACTGGACTGTGCAGACGTGTTTCTGTTGCTCTCCCGAGGATATCATGGATGCATTTGGACAACAAGACCTGTGTATGGACAGTACCATTCTTCTTGCCAGTGTTTTCAATGTGATCTCGTGATCAAGAACTGGGAAGCAGATGATGATCCTAGGAACGAACATGAAACATGGTCTCCAGACTGTCCGTATTCGGCCCTGGTAGGAGTACCTCAGAAAGAGGTGGATTCATATTCATAGTGTAGCTACGAGTGTGATGTTTAGTGTAAAATACTGTATATTTTCTTGTTTGAGTGGCATTTTAGAAGTTGAGACGTACAATATAGAACATTTTTTTAAGGATAACAACTTCTTTATTTCGTGAGTGCGACGTTTCAATACAGATTCTTGTACCGTTGTCAAGCAAGACAACTTGCTTGACAACGGTACAAGAATCTGTATCGAATATTAGAGTATATCTGGATTGGTTGTTTATGTATAATCTTTTGGTGATGTTTCAATAGAGGTTTGCTCCAATACTAATCTCAGTCAGATCCCAGCCCTGATGGGAGTAACAGCTTGTTTTCTAGAATTGTTGCAAATGGCTTTGTACGCTTTGAAACATTACGAGATTTTAAGGTTCATGTTTGAAGACGGTGAGGAGATTCGACAGGACATCTTAGAAATGGACCGAGAACAGATTCTTGCCACCAATGGTATAATCAATAGATTATTAAAGAAACGATTAACAGTGACTCAATATGAAAGACGTTGTTTCCTGCGGGGAGTGGGAGTGGGCGGTGGGGTTTGGTGGTGAGGGGGTGATATAAATTACAATTTAGATTAGTGTAACCCCTACAGTATTTGGAAGAGTCATTTTGAGAGTTACATGCCTATCATAGCATTCGTTTAGAAATCCAGTTTGTCAATGTGCTCAAAATGCCTGGTTGAGATGAGGCTATTCAACCAAACAGAATGTTGTCATAACATCACCCTCTGAACAAGTCTTGGACCAGGCCAAGGCTCGTATTCAGATGTCAGTATATATTCAGTCTATAAAAGAGGCATCTAAAACTGGAAAAATCACTGTCTCCTCGCGTCGCACGAAGACTTGGAAGACAATTTTTCGATAAAAGGAGCTACTAGAGAGGTTCACCATCATTTAGACTCTGGCCATCATGCAGTTAACAACAACGTGTCCCGAGTGGTATGAGACGTTTGAGAACGGAAACCGTACGCGTGCTCAGACATCTCAGGAATCAACACAGACGAGCATCACCACCGACACCACCACCACCACCACCACCTCTGACACCAGTACCACCAACACCAGTACCACAACCACCGACACCACCACCAACACCTCTGACACCACCACCACGACCTCTTACACCACCACCACCATCATCACCGACACTAGTACCACCAACACCAGTACCATAAACACAACCACATATGATGCAACCAGTGCAACCTCATTCATCAGAAAGTGCTGTTCAGACAGGAGAGCAAGAGAGAGAGCGATCTAATATTTTTGTGAATGGGAAAAGGGGGCTTTCTGCCCTGATCAGTCAACTGAAGCTGAGCCTTAAAATTCGGTTACTAATCAAAATGATAAATTTATAATGTTCTTATGATAACTGACTAACACCAGGTAGGTTTAAGTAGTGTACAAAAAATGAAGTATGAATATCTTGGATGCAATGTTTCATCATAAAAAATTTAATACCTCTTAGATGCTTGATTGGCATTTTAGAAGATGATATTTGATGAACATAGAGATTTTTCTGGGTTACGTCTTCTTTTTATTAAAATAAAAACACCAACACCAGTGACACCACCACCACACCTCTGAATAAAAAGAAGATGTAACCCAGAAAAATCTCTATGTTCATAACACCTCTTAGTTGACAGTTATATAGTTGGATATTGACAACCTTTCTGACCAGACGACACAAACGTGAACTGTTACTTACAGTACAGCTATAATATGCCCCTATTTGTAATTGATATCTAAGTAAGTAACAAAATTATATGCTTTAATATTAATAGTAATAATTAATAACGGGGAAATGTCGTTTGTGGCATTTCAGTGAAAGTGCAATGTTAGCAACACAGTATTACTTCACCTAGAACTTCATTTTAAGGAATATTTTATATGCATTATATACGCTGAACTGGTCAAATAACTCACAATAAATCAATAAAATGTATAAATAACATTAACTTGAATCATACAAGTTTTTCTACACGAGGTTCGAACTCACTAGTCTCTTTATTTGCTCTCCACGGTGAATATTTCACCTCAGTTTCACCCTATGTTGCCTATGATGGCTGCCACAAGCTTGCTGGCAAGTTGGGGATGATCTTTATCTATTGCATAACTACAGCTTTCTGCCATATCATTAGCACAGACCGCTCAAAACTCTGACTGGACAAGACATTGACACAGCTCAGGTCAGTTATTGACGTTATCTTTACCTAAATGGAATTCTTGTCTGTTAAACATGTTATAAATAGTGTGACGTATTGCAAATATACTCATGCCAATAATGGTTAATATATTTTACGTTCGTAATTATTCAATATGAGGTTGAAAAACTGAGAGCACAACCCCATGACGAAATGGGTGTATACCTTTGATGGTGGCGATGTTTTATTTTGACATTAAAAATGTTTTTCGAACCGAATGAAGTACAGAAGGAAGTACGTTGGCAACCTTTCCTCGGCTCGCTCGCATGTAGGAAGACTGGTCATTTTCTCTCTGTTGCGCAACCCTGTTTGCGACTGTGAGAAAAAGTAAAGGACCACAATCGTCTTATTAGGCGTTTTGTGCGAGATTTATCCTTGATTCCACCATGCTTAACACAATGTTCTTTTACTTCATGTTATTTTCAGATGAGAGATTGCATCTACTTACCTCTTTTTCTACACTTGCCTTGTCGCCTGTAAACAAATAAAATCAAAGTTAAGAGTTTTTCACATGTACGCCCTTTGTGGCTGCCGTCAATTTTATCATTGATGCGTGAGGCTTCATTTCTGTGTTGCCATTCTAGTTTGTCATTGAATTGTCAATAAATGCATGAACATTTCACAAAATACACTAATCGTACAATATCAACTTACTGACAACGGAACCTAAACCTAGATATACCATACGCAACGGTAAGCTGATCTGTGATATCCTACAGAGATTTGAATTTGGACAAAACAGTGGTAGTCTCCACAGGGGATGGATAGATATCAACTTGAACTGCTCTGGTGCTGGATGATCGGCTGCTTCAATATGGTTCCCTGCTGTGCTGCACTGTCTATAATCTACTAGGAACAATTCCGAAACATTTGAACACCGATGAAGGCTATACACAGCACCCCAATGAGGTGTCTGAAAGTGTCTAAATAAAATGCAGCGATCATCCATGGATACCATTGGTAGCATGTATTCACCTTGTCCGTGAATCTGGTTATATGTGTTGCCAACTCCACCATAAACCATCCCTGCCGTGTTAGCAGTCTGCATGGGTCCTTGTGTGTTTGGTGTAACCTGGATATTCTGGGTACCTGGTTGAGGAGGGTTGCTGTCGTTCGTCTGATTACTCATGGTTGTGGTGGTCGGTCGAGGTCTACCCGCACTTTCTAGAACAGGAACACGATGTGTTGTGTCACCGTAGTAATGATTCTTTAATTAAATCATGACATGCCATAATAGACTGGCACTTCGTACTCAGACAATGACATTATGATTTATCCAGATCATCCACTGAGTCAATGTTATTGCCATGTTTTATATCTAGTTTGCCCCTTTTATGCATCTGTAACTCTCCATTTCTTCAAAATAAACAACCTGCCCCATATCAAGACATATATCTGTTATCAAAATTTGGGCTGAAACTACACATCGCTCCATGAAAAGTAATGGAGCGAGCAGACTAATGGAAGTTAACTTGATTCAATCCCATGCTCTGTATATAATACAATAATGCTTGCTCATATCCATGCTCTCTTCTTTTGTACATGCACTGTACTCCTGTCAAAACGTGTGTCCAGTCTGGACATGTACTGAATACGAAAATTCAACAGTTGAAGTTGCATATTCTCCTCTACAGACACAAGTCTGTTCAGTCTGGAAGTTTATCCTAATTACGTGTTAACACTTACAGTTACATGGACGACCGATCATAATATTCTCCTGTACAAACACACGTGTTTAGTATGGAAGTTTATCTTAATTACGTGTTAACACTTACAGTTACATGGATGACTGATGATAATATTCTCCTGTACAAACACAAGTGTTTAGTCTGAAGTTTATCTTAATTACGTGTTAACTCTTACAGTTACATGGATGACGTATGCTAATAATCTCCTGTACAAACACAAATGTTAAGCCTGAAGTTTATCCTAATTACGTGTTAACACTTACAGTTACATGGATGACCGATGATAATATTCTCCTGTACAAACACAAGTGTTTAGTCTGAAGTTTATCTTAATTACGTGTTAACACTTACAGTTACATGGATGACTTATGCTAATATTCTCCTGTACAAACACAAATGTTTAGTCTGGAAGTTTATCTTAATTACGTGTTAACACTTACAGTTACATGGATGACTGATGCTAATATTCTCCTGTACAAAACAAGTGTTTACAAGTGTCTTAGTCTGAAGTTTATCTTAATTACGTGTTAACACTTACAGTTACATGGATGACCGATCATAATATTCTCCTGTACAAACACAAGTGCTTTTAGTCTGAAGTTTATCTTAATTACGTGTTAACACTTACAGTTACATGGATGACCGATGATAATATTCTCCTGTACAAACACAAGTGTGTTGGAAGGTTATCTTAATTACGTGTTCTTACAGTTACATGGATGACCGATGATAATATTCTCCTGTACAAAAACAAGTGTTAATCTTGAGGTTTATCTTAATTACGTGTTAACACTTACAGTTACATGGATGACTGATAATAATAAACTCCTGTACAAAAACAAGTGTTTACTAGTAGTATGGAAGTTTATCTTAATTACGTGTTCACACTTACAGTTACATGGATGACCTGTGATAACAGAGTTGCTGGTGTGAGTGCAAAGGACCATGCTTACAATAACTGAAGTGACAATATTAAGGAAGTGTATAAAAGCGATACCGGCCAAGACCCAATTTGACAGTTTACTCGATGTTTACATGGTAATATCGACTGAATCAGCCCCCACTTTCTTGTGCTTGATTGTTGGACAACAGCGGTACAAATACAAATCTTTTGTTAGTCTTTAATAAATGTTGGTACAAGACAGATATATCTACACTTTAATCGGAGCATCGGTGGATATTCCTACAGCCTACAATTGTTGATATATCGACAGACACACCTCGGAAAGTGTGGGTAGATCTCTCACTAATATCACTTGCTATTCAATAGAGGATTTGGCGAGTACGTGAGAAGGCTTAAGCAAAATTTTACGATATTTAACAGCTAGTTTCACGTATGTGCATAATTTTCTGAAACTCAAACTTCTGAAAGCTCATTCATCGTTTATTCAAAACATATATGGAGCTTTCGAGGCATACGAACACAGATCTGTTTGTTATTGGGTTAAGCGCTTCACTTTGCACACCCGTCTCGAGAGCAAGAGACGATAGTCCGTCTCGCGTACACGTTACGTCTCTGACTGATATTACTGTCACGGTACATCGCATTTAAAGGTAACTGCTACAATGAAGTGAAGCCCCCTATATCTCTACATTCTCAAAATAGCCTCTATCCAAGGTGTTCGGTCTGTGTTCGCTATGACTTGACAGCAGTTGTGTAAAGTGCTCAACCCTTGTATCCAGTGTCGGCCTAGTTTGAGGCATGGCTACGGTTGTAGGTACATGAATATCATTGTTGCTGACTTTTACTACTGTTGTCATTGACAACCGTTGTAATTGTACTGCCTTTTGAACTGGAGTGGAGACCAATAGTGATGCCGTTGACATAGACTATAGTGAATACTTCATACCGTCATCCTTTTGCAAGTGATTTGTTGTGGGGAAAACTCAAAACATGCTGGAATGTTCTTGTCTAGGACAGACAGGCAAGCTGACTTACCCGTGTCAGTTTTCTCCCCCGAGATCCGGGTGGGTTACAAGGACGCTTCACTAACACAGGTCCAGTGTACAATGGCGATGACAAAGTTTACACTGTCACATAGCAGCAACACATTGCTCAATACTGAACGAGTTTAGACGGGTATAGACGGAGTTAGACAGTGGACAGCCCCAACGCTACCCTGAATTTTTTCTTCCTGGTCTCGCTTCAAGTACACTCGGTGTAACTCGTGCCTTCCCGCAATCTACAAACCGGTTGCGTTAGTCACGCCTCGTGCATACAGGTCGAGTGTTCAGGGTCGACAACGACACTGACATGCTGGAGGCCGTGAGCCCTAACAGTATACAGCAACAGAATGCCCACTGAAGTGTGTGCGTGCGTGCGTGCGTGCGTGCGTGCGTGCGTGCGTGCGTGCGTGTGTATCTAAACATATAAGCAGGGGCAGATACCCCACTACTATGTACTATATATGGACACCTGGTGTCATTTCTGTCACTCTACATTATAGTGTTGAAAGTAATTAGTGTATGTTAGGCCTACGCAGACACAGGAGGAAATGTAAGAGACCCTTCTTTCCTACTACCCTTAACAATACTGACACCCGGTGTCACGGGTCACTCTACAGCAACACAGGAAGCATTGAAGGAAGATAGACATTTTACAAAATGACAGCGACTCCTTTCTCACCTCTCTCTAAACAGCCTGACAGCCTAGATTCTCTCCACAACTCTCTTGATCAATTCGGTGATCCAGACCATCACAGATAATGCCATCACTTACTTCACTCTGTCGTTAAGGCTTGCTATTCAAGTTTGATTTCCCACCAAAGTAAGATTATGATGTTAACTGTTTTCTCACATTCGAGTTCGAATCTGTTATGCCAATTATACAATTACATGTTTTACTCACTTTGTATCTTGTTTACCTTTTCATCCGTGGTGTAGCAGCATCGTTTTCATGTTGCAATCTTCCATCATTATTTGTCTGTGTTTGCAAGATGCCCAATGATAACATACTCATTTGGACTCTTCACTGTGTAGATAGGAGGTGAGGTGAGGTGAGGTGAAACTGGGTTTAAGGTCGCACTTGAGAATATTTCGCTCATATGACGACGTGCATGCGTGTGTATGTGAATGTGCGGCTGCTTGTACTAACCCAGACTGAAGCTGTTGTTATAGTGCTAGCCCACTGAGATACCATGCCGCAGTGAAGCATTAATACCCCACTCAGACACAGTATACTGACTCCGAGCCGACCAGTCCTTGTTGTACCCATTAATGCCGAGCGCCAGGCAGGGACCAACAAGTACCATATTTTAACATATTTTGATATGACGCGGCCGGGGATCGAACCCTCGACCTTCCGCTCTCCGGGCGGACGCTATAACCACTACACCACGGAGGCGGTCATAACAGCTGGGGGTACTGGGAGTTCAATCGATTGGAAACATGTACATTTACAAATCCTCATAGCAAGAGATTAAATTCAACATATCGTGAAACAAAATATGCATATAATCGAAACCCTAGAGACAATGTACAAATTGACCCGACTCATTACTGAGACAACTAGGATCACACCTTCGTCTTCAATTTTGTCCGATTTATTGTTTGTGAGTATTGCTGATGAATTTAAGGAGTATCTGTTCTTGTATGTAGTTATCGTAATTCGTAACGATCAAGTAAGAGGCGACTAACGGGATCGGGTGGTCAGGCATAGACAAGTGGCTGGAAGCATGTGGCATGGCCGCTATAACCAACCTTGACCTCGTCCATTCTGTAAGAGTACATCCCCGGTTTAGAGTGATCTTCAGTATCCCATGCTTGTCGTAAGAGGCGAGTAACGGCATCGGGTGGCCAGGCTCGCTGACTTGATTGACACATATCATCGGTTCCCAATTGCACAGATCGATGTTCATGCTGTTGATCACTTAATTGTCTGGTTCAGACTCGATTATTTACAGACCGCCGCCATATAGATGGAATATTGCTGAATGCGGCGTAAAACTAAACTCACTCACTCACTCGTAACGATCAAGGGAACTATATCCATACAATGTTTAAAACGGAAATATTCAGCTATAGCTTAATGGGTAAAGATAAATTTATCGAATCCTTCACTTCAGATGAGTGACAGAATAATATTGCGACTATAGCAGTGCCTTTCTACCAGACCTTTGTAATCTTATGCAATGATCATAACCCAAACAAAACTCTTACAGTTAAACCAAACTGTCAAGTGTGGGTTACTGGCTAAGGAAACCATAACGGTGTTGATAAAATCATAAACAATCTGTCTTCTGGTTGGGATAACTTTCGCAAATTAAGAACATTGCAGAAATGGGCTTCACAAATTGTACCCATGTGGGGATTCGAACCCGGGTGTTTGACGAAATGCTTTAGCCACTAGTACCCCACCGCCCCCGCAAATTAAGAACATAAACGTTTACATGGTCATAAAGCATGGTTTTTGTGGTAAAATAAGTGCAGTATTCGGTAACAACAGTTGGACCTTTGGTGATGAGTGATACGACCTTCCTTTGTTCTTAGTTTTATCTTACATATGTTCTTAGTTTTATCTAAGATATGTTCTTAGTTATATCTAACATATGTTATTAGTTTTATCTAACATATGTTCTTAGTTTTATCAAACATATGTTCTTAGTTTTATCTAACAATGTTCTTAGTTTTATCTAACATATGTCCTTAGTTTTATCTAACATATGTTCTTAGTTTTATCTAAGATATGTTCTGAGTTTTATCTAAGATATGTTCTGAGTTTTATCTAACATATGTTCTTAGTTTTATCTAAGATATGTTCTTAGTTATATCTAACATATGTTATTAGTTTTATCTAACATATGTTCTTAGTTTTATCTAACATATGTTCTTAGTTTTATCTAACACATATTCTTAGTTTTATCAAACATATGTTCTTAGTTTTATCTAACATATGTTCTTAGTTTTATTTAAGATATGTTCTGAGTTTTATCCAACATATGTTCTTAGTTTTATCTAATATATGTTCTCAGTTTTATCTAACATATGTTCATAGTTTTATCTAACATAAGTGCTTAGTTTTATCCAACATAAATTCTTAGTTTTATCTAACATATGTTCTTAGTTTTATCTAAGATATGTTCTTAGTTTTATCTAACATATGTTCTTAGTTTTATATTACATATGTTCTTACTTTTATCTAGCATATGTTCTTAGTTTTATCTTAAATATGTTCTTAGTTTTATATAACATATGATCTTAGTTTTATCTAACATATGTACTTAGTTTTATATAACATATGTTCTTAGTTTTATCTAACATATGTTCTTAGTTTTATATAACATATGTTCTTAGTTTTATCTAACATATGTGATTAGTTTTATCTAACATGTGTTCTTAGTTTTATCTAAGAGACTCCCAGAAGTGTGTTAATGCAGCTTCAGAAACATCATAAAACTTGTCTTTGTTATGTGACAATTCTTTCTGTACTATCAATTTAATCATAACAACGTTTATTATTATTATTATAGAAGAAGGGTATATTTTGTATAAAGGCCATACGACTCATCGTACAAGGTGGTACAATAGTGATTTTGGTTACCATTTTCATACAACAGCGCTAACAGGAGCAGCATAAACATGTTCTAAGAACATGACAAAAATATTTATGATGTTAATGTCGGATGATGTACACATGCAGTGGAGTGAATAATAATATCCATCGACCGTTTTGGGAATGTAACGCCGACGCATATCCTCATAGCGTTTACAAACATAAACAATATAAATTTCATGCTCAATACTTTTACAGTGTTTACATAACACAATATCATCATTGCAAGAGGCAGTTCCTCTTCTAATATATTTGATACCTAGTGCATTACATCCTGATCTAAATATTGTGAGGGGGCGGTGGGGTAGCCTAGTGGTTAAAGCGTTGGCTCGTCACGGCGAAGGCCCGGGTTCGATTCCCAACATGGGCACAATGTGTTACGCCCATTTCTGGTGTCCCCCGCCGTGATATTGCTGGAATATTGCTAAAAGCGGCGTAAAACTAAACTCAGTCAGTCAGTACATCCTGATCTAAATAATGTGAACAGACGCTTGCACTTATTACTTATGTTCAATGATAAATATTGTTCACAGGTCAACAGGGATTTATGGGACTTATAGAAATACAGCGAAGGAACATCTATCGGGAAATGCCACTCTTGCATAGAGCAGTTGTTAATTCTTTCAGTAAACATTTAAAGAAACATTTTTGTATCTCCGACATCTTGTGAAATCCAAACAGTACCAAACCGAAAATAAATTAACAAATCACTGACATGCCGAGCCCACGTGGGTTCCTGAATTCAACAGATAAATATAAATTGAAAACATTTATATGGATATCTACTTTGATGCATTCTTAATAATGATAGCCAGTATTTAATACATTTGACATAATAAACATTGTTTAAGGGTGCCCTCCCACATTCCCCATATGCAACAGCATTAGATGATCTGTAACTAATCTGAAGTAAATATTTGCAAAATTTTCGATGGACAATTTTAATACTTTCTCTCTTTATTAACCCCGTATATCAGCACCACATGTTAGAATTGGGACAATCCTTTCATCAAAAATATAAAATCCTTCTGAGAGTGACATATCACATCGTCTTATAAATGACTTGACCAGCCACAGTACCTTATTAGCTTGATCAGATAATGTTTTACATGCCCCAGTCCAAATCAATTTTGGAGTTATCATAAGTCCTAGATATTTATAAATATTGACAGTTTCCATTCGAATGCCATTATAAAACCATTTCTCGTGTTTGGACAAGGGTCCATCCATTTTAAAAACAATTATTTTACTTTTATCAGTATTTATATCCATGTCCCATGTATGGGAATACATATGTAGAGCATCAAGGCGGCGCTGTAATCTAACAACAATATCAGCTACCAAAACCAAATCATCTGCAAATAACTGAGCAATAATATTCAACATATTTTCGGAGATAAATATACTATCATCAAACTTATTTTCTTAGGTCAATGAAAGCTCATTAATATATAAAGAAAATCATACCGGACTAAGGACACATAGAACCGAAACAAAATTTTTGCTCATTACATTCAGAAGAGAGATCCCCCTTTAATTATTCGGGTCAGATCTACTACCTTTCCTATGTAGTGGGATGATAATATAATGTCAGTTGACCAGGAATGTGGCCAAAAGCCGGATGAGAGTATCTTA